CGGATTCGAACCTCTGCAACAAGTAGCGAATGTGCTGCCGCTGGACCACGTCACATTACATTATAATAATACTTTCATTTTATATAGTTTAATTTACGCTAATAGCATCCCATAATGCTGTACATTAATTATATGGACCAAATCCCATACATGGCCACGACTAAGCAAATTAAAACCCTGCCACCAAGCAAAATCAAAAATGAATAAACAAATTAATAAATTGCACCAAAACAAAAAGTTATCACAACAAAGAGGAACTTACATCCATTGCTCTATGGAAAGAGGGCCATGATGTTTTACAGCTATTTAAAATAACCCATCCCATGTGAGTGCAGTAAAGAGGCTGTTTGGCGTTGCCTGGTATATTATCATTATTATTATTTCCGTGTTATTTTAAACTCTGGTATTTAAAAATATAAATATTGAAATGTTAATTGGTGGGTTTGCTTAAGGGTGGGATGTGTGTGTGTGTGTGTGTTCGAACAGTGGAAGCTGCAGTCTCACAGGTGTGTGTGTGGGGGGGGGGGTGTTAAAACGCTGGGGCTGGGTGTACGTAACTCTCTCTTTGAACATGAGCTGTGTCCAACTCGGTCCAGCAATGTGGGCAGTAATCAGAGCACTTGACGGCACAGTCAGTTTACAAGTTCAAATCCTACTTGCTGAATGGTATGGCTCTTTAGCATCGTCATCGTCATTATCTACATTACCACCATAATAACAATACTAATAATAATAAGAATTACATTTATATAGTGCTATTCATCAAGGATCACAAAGCGCTGTACAGAACAGCAGCAGCAGACACTCACCATAAAAATAATTATATAACAAGTATTGTAGTTAATGCACACATGATTCCTCGTAAAATGGTTTCAGTTTGGTTGCCAGAAAAAAAAGAGGAAAAACCCTATATTCTTGGTTCTTCGGTAAAGTCACGTAGAAGGGAAACAATAAAATAATAAAAAATATAAAACAATAAAATTCTCACGACGTTTCGACTGCAACACAAGCAATCATCATCATCAGGTGTGAAAACCACAGCAATAATTTTGAAAAAAGTGGCGGTTATTTTTACGTTAGCACCACGGAGAGCGATTGACAGTTTGTTCAGATGGACGAGTCCATCTATGTTCGGAAAAAAGGAGGGGGGAGACGAAAATAATGGATGCGGTCTGAAATCCACCGTAAGCGTGAACAATCAATTAAGACCCGAAATGGTTTATCAAATCCTTCCAATGATTGCTAAGCCAGAATCCAACTTCTCGGTTGAAATTGTCTCTGTTTGTATATGTGGATAGCCTCATGAACGAATCTCTCATTGTAGCCAGATGGCTTGCAAAGAACCTCTGTCTTGGAATCGTCAATGTCATGTGAGCCTCACTGAATTATTACAGTGATCTGCCACGGCCGAGGTGTTGGTCCTACCGTGTTTTAGGTCTGCTTTGTGTTCACGAATGCAGTCCGAGACATGTCGTTTGGTTTCTCCAATGTACCTACTACCACAGAGGCAGATCACTTATAATTCATACACTTCGCCTTTTCTTTTTCAGCTAGGCTGCTGGTGAAGGACAGGTGTGAAGGTCACAGTTCCCTTTAGCTGACAGAGTAAAGGTTGTGGGTTTTACGAGTCGAATTACTGTTGGTGAAGATAACGGCCAAAAGGAGCCTTTGAACGCACCTGTTGCACACACAAAAAAAATTCGTGGGTGCTCGAGGCATAGACAGAAGTTTGTGTTCTCGTATGCAGCAACTTGGTTCCCTTTTGGGGCAGTTTTTGATACCTGCTGTGGCCCATTGCACGAGGGGTGAAATTCAAAAGTGTGTGGCTTTAGACGTGCAGTAAGTGGCATCACTACAGAGAGAGCGTGTTACTTGGTAAGATTGTTTACCAGGCTTAGCCGCGGTCGACAATACTCTCCTCGGTTATTGCAGGTGTTTGAATTCATCTTTTTTTTTTGCGCGTGTGTTGGCCACGACGTGGAGACGGCAGAAAAATAGAGAAAGCCGGAGAAAACAAATCTTCGGTCCAAATCAAACGAGAAAACAAACACTCGCCAGACGTAGACCACCAGTACCTTCCACACGTTTTTGCGTGAAAGAGAAGCGATGAGAGCTGTAAACAAGCGGTTTGAGAAGCAAGAAAGAACATCTTCGGGGAGGAGGTTAAAATCTGAGGATATAAATGATGCTGACGACGACGATGGTGGTGGTGGTGGCGATGATGATGGTGACGATGGTAGATCACATGCACTGCACTTAATGGTGACCACGTAGAGAAATAACTCGAATTCGTCATCGTCACCCACTCTGTCAAAACACGGACTTTTATTAAAATCTTATAATACATCATGTATGATGAACTTCTTTTGCACCGTATGTAGCCAACCGTACTAATCGGAGGTAAATTCACTTGAAGTGCAGGATACATTTCGAAGTCGGTGCAGGAGCCTGCTGGTAACGCGATGAGATTCCTCACGTTAATTCAATATGGAAAGATCTCCCAGATGGACGAGAACATGACGTGACTCGCTGGTTTGTGAAACCCTTAATTAAAGCACACTCGCACAACATTTGCACTGTTATAGTTCGAGTGCTCTCGATACGAACTGACACCCTGAACACTACGAAATGGGACCTTGAATTCCTTTCTTAAGGTTTTCTATTTGGTGTTTGAAGATCTTCACACCTGTTTTATTGTCAGAAAATGGTAAAACCTATTCTTATGTTTCCATACCCTGAACACTCTTGCAAACGAGATTGTTCCACCTCGATGATTTGTCCAGGTGCAACGTACTAATAAATAAAGTAACAATGTTAAATCTTCAACTTACACAATCGGAAGGTTGGGAGTTGAAATCGTGGTCAAGGGGTTCACTCGGCACGTCGCTGTGAATCCTCCTGGGGTTGATCAATCTAGAACGACCAATTTGTGTGTCGAATTAACATTGGTCGTGCTATGTACAGTCTGACCCCTGCCATAGGAATGTGGACTTTCCCACCACTGACTCATGGCCGCTAATGGAGATGAGTGTCGCCCTATTGCTAAGTTGAGGAAGCATTTTTTTTAACCTAATGAGTTTGTACGTCTTCATTGTGACCTGTTAATGCGACGTTTCACAGCTAATGACAGGCTGCACACACACACACACACATGCATTTCTATACTCCATGTATACATCACACTTAAAAATACACGGGCACACACACACATGCAGGCACGCACACCCTGGTTGATGATCCCTCCACCGAATTAAATGTTGCAATGGCATATAACGTATCTGCTTCGTGCGTACATTGAGGAACATCGATGCTTACACATACAAATGGATGCATGCACGTATTGTGAATCTTAAAAATCTATATTTCTGAAAAGATGTTGTTACCCCATTAATATACTCATTACGGCACGCACACACACACACACTCACCTACGCGTATGTGCGATGCTTGGTTTTAAAAAAATACATTGGTGGTAGTATTTGTGGTGGTCATGATGATAATTATTTTAGTGGTTGAAATGCTGATGGTGGATGTGATGTTGATGTTGTTGACTACTACATTGACCATGACGAATGACAACGGCAGTGACGATGGGCTCTTGGCATCATTATCAAGTGCACGTGGAAATAAAGTGAGACCAAGGGACGAGGCTGCGTCGACAAACCACCACGGGACATTGCCACTGTCGTTTAGTGCTCGCAACGTTACCCCGGCTGTTAATTGTCACTTTTAAAACAGAGGACAATTGAAGTGCAGCTTGCAGTAAAATCGGACTTCCTGCACACCCACGCACCCAACTCCCGTGCTACAATCGCACGCTTGCCTGATTGCCGGACTCCCCCCCCCCCCCCCCCTCGAGTTTATAAAAATAGCTTGCGGTCATTCTTAGCACAGGTGTGTTATCAGCACATAAGCAGGCGAAATTTAAATGTGGATCGCGAGGCTTTCGGTGGGTTACGTGTGCAACGGCCATTATGAACCTCCCGAGGTGTGACATGGATCCGAAAACGTGGACGTTGACCCGACACACCGAGGCGAAACTAGAGCTGGCAAAATGCACAAAGTAGCATCGAGAGAGAGAGAGCGCTTCCTTGATATTACATTGAGGGATGTGAAGAGGAACACATGGATGCGAGAACATTGGGAAGCTGGAGATGGAATGATGAAATCTTCTCATGCGCAGGTGCTAGGTAGATTGGTACTTTGTAGGTCCGTCAGACATAGCAATGCCGTGGGGAGGATTGCATCGAGCAGTGGATTGGTCGTGGCTGATGATGATGGGTTTGAGAGGGAGATCTAATTTCAGCCCAGGGGTAAAACTTCAGGTTCGTAGAGGTGCTGTGTTGACTCAGTCTCTTACACGGCCATAATGACATTTTTGAATGCCCTAAGCCCTCTAAGAGTGACAGAAAGACAGCAATAGCCAGCGTTCAAATCCAGGACTAAGTTGTACTGGTTTTTTGGCAATTTGTCAAGTACATGAGAGCGAAGGAGAGACAAGACCAACCCAGGCCTTGGGATTAAACCTAGGACTTTACAAATGTTGGCTCAGCGTTTTTTGACACAATTGTCATCATTCCTGTGAGAACCAACCTCGGGGCTCCAACCTCAATGTTCTGCAAAGCTTACAAAGCATAACCATAGCGGTTTTGTGATCGCCTTTGTTGCCATAAGAATGGTACAAATACCGTCTGTACTTGTTCCCTCCTTTATTTGTTTATGAATTCGGAGCACTGCTGGCTGAATGCTGCTGCTGTGTATGTGTGAAGCTTTCTACGACCTCACTTCTCCGAGCCGTTCTTCCTTTGTTCCGTTATTTTTCCTGTCAATTTCCATTACAGGTCATGAATGGATTGGTACGAATGTGTGTCGTGTGTTTGTATGTATTTATGTGTATTAGAGGAGTGGTGGTGCAGCGGTTGGCGCAGTGGTTAGCGTACCGCGCTACGAACCCGGCCACCTCCAGTAACGATTATCTGAACCGGTCCTGGTCCTTTCTCCTAGGTCAACTCGGCCTCAAATGCGTACCCGGTGAGTAGACATCGCCACTAGGGAGACAAAGGTGGCTGGGTATGGTGCTGGCCACCCACCCGCTTGTGTGCCTTGCCGACCTTCATAGATACTCGCAAACATTACTTGCCCCAAGAATCTGATGAGCTCATTCTAGATTTGAAGCTTTCGTGACTGCAAGGATTCATATTCTTTGTTTTTTATGAGCACTATACGAGAGGGATCTTTTTCTTGTCGTGCGTAATTGTTAGAGCACTGCTCTTTGAATCCAGCGGCACGAGTTCGATTCTCGACCACGGCTAGCATCATCGGTGGCGAGCAATATCTGAATCGCTCCTGACGACTTTAATTCAATTCTGGCTACGGCTAACATTGGTGTTGAAGTTATTAAATTATCGGCCACTGGCCATGGCTAATGTCAGTTGGCGAGTGAGCTCTAAACCAGTACTGCAACCCCCTTTCAACAACTGTCACTGACCAGCGTGGTGAAGTATGGTCAGACAACTCCCACAGTTGAAAGGTTTTGTGAACAGCTTCATCAAGAAATGTATTGGCAATGGCCTTGCACGTTGCTATTGAATCGACTCTGTGATAAAGAGGTCCTTCCCACCATTTCTAAAACCTGTCTACAATCAACAGTGAGCGCAGGTGGATGAGACTAGATGCCTGAAAGCAAAGTAATATTGGATAGGACAAAGGAAATATGTCACTCGTTGCACCTGTGTGTGTGTTCTACCGCAAGCGGTGTCTGGGGCATGATGATTCTATTTCTTTGTGGCTAAAAGCAGAGTATTTGCTGCTGCTGCGAATTACAATATCAAATCCATATCAAAGAAGTGAGATATCAAATCTATCCACCACCTTTGCCCCCCTCCTCCCCACCCCTGCAACCTTCACCTCCACCGCCACGTCCCAGCCCACTCCCTCCGCTGCACGGACTCTGGCCTTCTCGATCCTCACTCCCTAGGTCTGCTGCTCCGCCATCGGTGGCTGCTCTTTTGGCCACCGCTCCTCCCTCACCCTTTGGAAATCTCTCCGTGGGCAACTCCACCTGCTCCCCTCTCTGCTTCCGAGTCTCTCCTCGACACTTTCCCTTTCAACCTCCGTGGTTCCGAGCCCCCCTTTAATTGGTTCTTTTTCTCTCCTTCCCTTGGCTCAACCCCCCCTGTTTCCCCCCCCTTCCCTCCCCGCTTTGTGAGACGTTTGCTATGTTAGGGGTGCATTACAAATGTACGTTTTAGTCGTGCGTTGTTTCCATAATAGAGGGGTTTTTTTGGGTTAGATCGCATGAAAATAAATGTTTTGTTAAACCCGCCACCGCCCGACGCAGACAATTTTAGAGGCTTTTCACTTGAACAAAACGTGCCAATTTAGTTACTCGTTCAGCATATTGGAGAGGAAAACCCACACAATGTACAATTTTAGTTCACGACATTAGTCGTGAAAACGTGCGTGTTAAAGTGGGTGGTGTCGTTGTCGACATGTCCGCCTCGTGCAAAGCCGTTCGCAAGACGGGAAAGCGGCCTCCGCATCGTCGGACCTGGTCAGCCGTCAGTACATTCGATAACAGGTGTTACCGATTATTGGTCGTTTTCACTGCCTTGGGCTTGTGACAACAGGGCTGCTCCTCCACTTGCTAAAACTCTCATTTCTAAGTCCGTCCCTCTCGCGTATCCAAGCCAGTCCCTCTTGGAGGGGAAGGGGGGAGTGAGCAGCGAAAGGCGAGGGAGGTGGAGAATGAAACTGCCTGGCACGTGGTGAGGGAGAGTGAAGGGCAGACCGAGAGATAAAGCGAGAGACCGGGAGAGAAATGGACATAGCGGCAGAGATACGTACACACACAGAGCTAGAGATACGTACACACAGAGCTAGACATGCGTACACACACAGCGCTAGAGATACGTACACACACCTGGAAAGATGGTCTAGCGCAAACCGATGCAGAGAGACGTAGAGAAAGAGAGAAATACGAGCGACAGAAGCGGAGAAATCGACAGATGTAACAACGACGGCATAGAGACACGGGCAGAGAGAAAGGTCGCCAAACAAAGATTGACGGACACGGAAACGGACAGAATCGGGCGGAGAGAAACAGCCAGAAGAGGAGTGTCACAGACAGACATAGAGACGCAGAGATAAAAGCAGAGAGAGAGTGGGAGGCACAGACAGAGGCACAGGCGGTGCGCGACGGTCAGAGAAGGAGAGATGCACAGAGAGAGGAAGACGGTGAGAGGGAGAGAGCGTGGACCACGCACCCGTGGGCCCAGCAACGGAGCCCCCAAAGCTTAATGGAGGGAGGTGAGGCCTGGGGATTTTGTATGGACGTGTCTCACCAAGTGTGTGTGTCTGTGGAGAGCGCGGTAGTGTAGCGGTTCGCGCGCTGCGCTACGAACCTGACGACCCGGGTTCGATTCCCGCTCACGGCCAACGCCAGTGACGATTATCTGAATCGGTCCTGGGGCCTCCCTTAGGTCGACTCGGCCTCCAATGAGTACCTGGTGCGGTGTGTAAACATCGCCACTGATTTGATAAAAGAAAGCCGGGCGTGGTGCTGGCCACCTATCCCATTGTATGCCTTTAGAGTTGCTCGCTAACAGCACTTGCCCCGACAGTCTGTGCAGCCTGTACGGGGAATCTTTTGTCTTTGACCAATGTGTGCGTTCTGGGGTTAGGTGAATGGTGTCTGCTAAAGAATGTGCAGGCTGCATAGTTGGGTTCAAAGTCAAATTTAACTTACTATTTGGCTTTCAATTTGGATCTGGATTGAGGTTATCTCATCGGGATAGCCAAAACATAATTTTCATTGTGTGACCTGTGACCAAATAGCCGTGAATCAGCTTGATCTGCTCAGAGCTTAGCGACTAATGAGGGTTGAGCCTGGGTAGTACTTTAATGGGAGACTATCCGGTAATACCAGGCATTGTTTAAACCTATCTGTGCAAAGTTTTGAGTGTTAAACTCTTCATATGCATTTTGATTTAAAGCTTTCGTGATGGCAGGGATCCATATTCTTGGTTCTTTCGGTAAAGTCACATAGAAGGGAAACTAAAATAATAAATATATAAAACAATAACATTCTCACGACGTTTCAACTGCAACACAAGCAATCATCATCAGGTGTGGTTTTTATTGTTTTATATTGTTATTATTTTATTGTTTCCCTTCTACGTGACTTTACCGAAAGAACCAAGAATATTCTTCATATGCATTTAAGTCATCCGGGAACTCTGGTTTCCTCCCACAAGCCAAACACTAGTGCTTGGAATTGGCCAAACAACACAATGCAGGGTCCTCCTTAAATGTCCTCCACAAACTCCAATTAGACTTTCCTACAATAGGTAAATGGTATGAAAAAAATATATTTTCCGCTATTTGTCAATCCACTGCTTGATGCAGGCCTATGCAGGTGTGTATGTTGAACTTCTTTTGCACCGTACGTAGCAAACCACACGAATCGCTAATTATCGGAGCTGTGGGAGTATCCACTAGTATCGGTCATAAGAGTTGTCTGACTCGAGATTCGCCATGCTCGGCACCTCAGGATTGGTGGAGGGTGGGCCAGGACCGGTTAAGCTATCACTTTCCACTGACGTGTCCTGTGGTCGAAAATAACGCAAACAAAATTTTGATTCCTGAACCAATTAAGACTCGGAATTCTGACATCCGCATTCAATCGTTACATGAATTATATTTAACATATTTGATACAGATCTTTTTTTTTGCAGTTTATGTGTGTGTATATATTTTGAAGGAAACTAATCATATTTCAGTGGAGGAGTTGGATGTTCAGGTTGTCACACCTGCAGATGTAAGCATCACGTTTTTCGGTGTGTTGAAGGGAAGGCTCTTGCATCGGATGGAGTAACTCTAGACATGATCAAAGAAGGGGGGCCAGCTGTTGTCTGAAAATTCGCAAAGCTTTTTACGAATCCATGCGACCACGGGGAGAACATGCAATCTCTAAATATACAGGTGTCAGGTTTGGGATCGAACCCACAACCTCCTGTATACCAGATGAGGCAGTTAACATCTCGCCACCGCAGCGTCCTCTTCAATTTCATTCAGCAGTGGATACAACACAAACGATGATGATCAAAAGGGTTCATCAGCATTACATAACCATTTGTGACCAGCGCCTGGTATAGCGGCGTCCCGTTCAAAATGTTACCCGCGTGCGTAGCCCATCCTCGTTGGTGCTCGCTATAACTGCACTTGGCCCTGCAGCCCGTAAGCTTTAAACAGACGATCGTTATTACGTGTGTGTTTGCCCTAAAGCTCATTTGAATGAGGTTTAACAAGCCAGCCGACCATCGAACTGGCTAATCTGGCCCTTCCAGACCGCCTTTGCCCTGCCCGGCCCCACCCAGCCACCTTATAACGCCCTCTACCCCGAGCACAACTTCCATCCACGCTCGCAAACAGGAAACATGCTGCAGCTCTCTCTCTCATGACGCTGTGCCCATCGCCGAAGAACAGCGCGTGCTGGAGGGGGTAACGTGGAGAGCTCGAAGGCGCAGTTGCGCGTTCGCCCCCCAAGCTGCAGTTTCGTGGGAACGGCTGTGCTTGTGAGTGATGGAACAGACAGACGGACGGCCACACTGATGGACAGTTAGACACAACGGACCAACATTTTGAGATATGACCGAGCGCAGATGGGTGAACTGGCGTCGAGAGCTGTTAGTAAGAGTGACGAACGCATGTTTTGCCTGATATGTATGTCTGTGTGTATTCAACATAATATACAAACATGTTTGGTTTGTGGTCCTTGCCGCGCGTCTCTGATTGGCACGGTTGGCTACGTATGGTGCGAAAGAAGTTCAACATGCATACAAGCATATTTGAGGAACTGACAGATGAGCAAGAATAAGATGAACTGACAGACCAAATGGACAGCTTGATGGAAGATTTAATTGTCAGAGGCTGGGTTTAACTGATGGTGATGATGATTATATTGTGATCATGATCGTTTGTGAGGGTGATATTGTGATGATGATGTGATTTATAGCATTGCGATGTGTATGATGATTGTAGTGATGTTATGATGACGATTTTATATGACATTGATCATTGTGATCAGCATATTTTGTTGATGTGAATATGTAAACGATGATGCTGATCACATTACTGTGATGATGATGATGAAGAACAGTGGGGAAAATAAGGAGTGAGGGGTGCATGCAAGATGAGAGTCCAGGGTTTGCCTCTCCAAATAACTATCTACAGCGTGAAAACAGATAAATCACCTGCAGCGTTAAGACGGATAAGTTACTTGCGTCTTTTAAGACCGATACGTCGCCTGCACCGCGAAGACAAATGCGTCAGCTGCAACATTAAGACCGATAAGTCACTTTGCGTCGTGAAGACAAATAAATCACCTGCAGCGTTAAGGCAGATAAGTCGCCTGCAGCGTTAAGACAGATAAGTCACTTGGGTCGTTAAAACCGATAAGGCAGGTTTACAATACCCGGGGGTAATGTCCACGTACATGGACAGATGACAGGGCAGGTATCGGTTACATAAAGCAAGGCAAATGCAACATTACCTGGCCTATTTAAATCAATTGTCCGTTAAGGGAGATTTTCATCTTGGGTGTCTCATTGCAACTGCCACTGTAATGATTTTGAGGTCAATGCCGAGGATGCCAATGATTTCACGGTTGGATAGGGTAAGCATCTTGAACGTTCAGAAACGGAACGTTGCAGATGTAACCGCTGGGGGGAAAAAGAGGTTGCGACGAGTGGGATACGGCATGTGTGCATCGTGGAGGAAGCCAGGTTACCGAGATGGGCAGGTTGGAGTGGCACTCAAAGGTTGCTAATCACGAGTTGGATGAGACTCTAAAGAGTGGTCCTTGAAGAATGGCTGATGATTGTCTAACAGAGGGGCAAGACTTTATTATTATTACTCCTACACTTATTTACCCAGGAAATCCTCACTGAGACTCATGACTCCTGCCAACCTTTCGTAGTAGCGGGCAATGATTTGTAAGCATATCTCCCAATTCAATTGTGGGTATATATTTTTTTTCTTTAAATTTGGACCACGACACCAAAACACAATGGCCCACTCATGCGAATGACGTGACGGGATCTTTAACTTCTACTGTGAAGCAGACGGCGCGGAGTATTGTTATATGGTTTAACACGTAGGCTTTCGCTAGCAATATCCATAATACAGGTTGTTTGGGTTAGATCGCGTAAATATATTAATGTGTTGTTAAACCCGCCACCACTCGACACAGCCAATTAGTAATTACAAACTAGCTAATTTTTATTACTGGTGAAACGTTGTACTCAGATTGGAAATGTTGTGGCTTTGCTCTCCAACACGCCGGTGTGCTGTACTAGTGACGAGCTGCATGTTCTGTTTACGTGACAAACCTTACTAATTGGCTGTGTGGGGTGGTGGCGGATTTAACGACACATTTAATTATTTACGCATTCTAACCCAAAAATAACCTGCATTATTGTTATCCGGTTCGTACACCCGCAGCGGTTTTGATTCGTACCGTGAACGAGCGGCGAATGGCGATCCGGCTAGGCTGTGTAACCGCCTTTAAGGAAAATGCTGATGATGAGACTTTTAAGTGCAGGCTCCGGAGGGTTGAGTTGTCGATTGTTTAACTGCTGGCCGGGTCTGGCAGGACAAAAGTAGGCAACGGCAAAGTGTGGGGGACTTCAAAGGCGTTGGCCGTAAAAAAATGTTTTAACCCTGTTGTGTACGATCACTGAGCTTTGTTAAAATGAGCTTTTTTGTATATATAAATAGACTGGGAATGTTGCATTGCTATATGTAAACATTGCAAATGCGTGCATAAGCTGTATTTGCAAGTGCGCAAATACACTTGCCCACCAGGGTCACTGGCACCGTGTACGCAGAGGGGCTTGTCCCGGTGTGACCTTTGCTTCCTGAGATCAAGGTGGTGGCGAGATGTTAACGACCTTGCCTGGTTTTGCTGGATGGTCAGGAGTTCGATCCCGACCCTGACGCCTGCTGTATATTTGGAGTTTGCATGTTCTCCCCGTGGTCGCGTGGATTTTTCTCCGGGGTCCTCCGGTATTTCCCCTCCACATTTAGATACCTGCGTTGAGATTGTTTTGATTATTTGGCCGCTATACATTTTGAAATGATAAGCCACTTCGTTGTGCTATCATTTGTTGGCCAGGTCACCAACAGCTGCGTGGGCCCTACCTGGCAAAATAAAATATTTCAGTTTTATTTGAATATTTTTTTGGTGATTTGCTTACCTTTCCTATACTTTGCACTCCTGACATGTTTTTATATTCTTCGTTGTAATGTTCTGACGCGTCCCTTACTAGTCGTCTGTGAAAAAGAGAGCTTTATAGCTCATCGGATTCCTCCAGTATAAATAAATATTCTTATTCTGGAGTGACAAACTGGCTTTGATTGCGTTGTGCGATGAATCTATCGCGTTCGTTTGCAAAAAGATGTCCAGCAAGTAATTTACAACGAACCGGTCGCTCCATTCAACGTATTTGAACGCTCTCCAGATAATGCCTTGAATTCGCACAAAGCAGCTTGAATTCTAGAAAAGGGAACTTGTATAATTTATTTGCGCGCGTGTAGCTCACAGGTGCGCTTTTGAGGCCACACGAAGTGGTGAAGGCTTGCTGGCAGGTGGTCACAAGAATTGGCCCAGGTCTTGCGGGTTAACTGAACTGGCAGATGCATCCCCTGTCCTCCCCCACTGCCCCATATCGCTTTGTTTTTAACCGCCCAGCCCTCTGCTCATTGTTATCACTGCTGTACTCCTCAACAACACAAAACAATGCTCTCTATCGTCCTTAATGAATTGCCTGCACACAGACTAATCTCTACACCACCACTATTACCGCTCACCAGCAATTGCAGTCGGTGCAATGTCCTCCCGTACCACATTGTCTCATCTCTACTCTAGCTCTTCCTCTGACTTTTTAGCCAAACAGGAGCTGCCCTGGGCATGTGGTGACTGGGCATGGGGGATGCATGTTGAGACTGTGTGACACAGGAATTTCACCTGACATGTACCTACATGGTGTTGTTCTCTCTCTATGTATCCTGCAGATTATCACGCCTTTCCGTCGGCTTATCCTTTGTGCCGAGAATCGTAAGGAGATGGAAGATTGGATCGCGGCGCTAAAGTCTGTACAGAATCGAGACCCTTACGAAGTGAGTGCTTCCTGGTGAACGACTTCAAGATCGCCCTTCACATCGTCAAGATTCATTCATGGACTCGCCTCTCTCTACCTCTCCCCTCTCATCTCACTCTACTCCCCTCCACGCACTCTCCTGCCTCTCCCCTCTCATCTCACTCTCCTCCCCTCCACGCACTCTCCTACCTCTCTCATCTCACTCTACTCCCCTCCACGCACTCGCCACTGCAGCAACCAAGGTTTTCTGTGGAATCCCCCAAAAAACCTTTGGTCAGTGGGAGGTCGTTCGTTCTCCTTTTTCTGCCTCAGACACTCCCTTCCCTCAGCCATCCATGCTGTCAACGCCCTGCCCCCTGTTAAAATTACGTGTGGGGAGCTGAAGTGCAGTTGTTAGACAATTGCCCTATCAACATGGACACCTGAGTTTGATTTCTGGCCACGGCTATCACCAGTGGCGAGTGGTATCTTAACTGGTCCTTGGCTTCCCCTAGACCTACTCGGCCTTCAGCGAGTACCCTGTGTGTTATGCAGACGTCATCACTGGGTAGACAGACGTGACGAGGCGTGATCCTCGCCATACCACCCCTTCGTGCTTGGTACCGGCCTTCATAGATGCTCACTGATCATACTTTGGGCCACAAGGTGACGGGGTGGTAACACTTTTCGCCTCGGGGTATGAAGGTCCTGGGCTCGATTCCCGACCCTGGTGCCTTTCTGTGTGAAGTTTGTATATTTTACCCCTTTTCTGCATGGCTTTCCTCCTACAGATACAAAATATCGCGTACAATGTAACTGGTATTTGCCAAACATCCAAATGTTGAAAAATAACCCGCACATTACACGATTTTTTACACCTGATAAAGGAAGCTTTTGTTGCCTCCGAAGCGTCGTGATTTAATTTAGTTGTTTTCATTTTTATTTTATTACATTTTTACCTACGTGACTTTACCGAAAGAACCAAAGAGTATATGGATCCTTGGCAGTCACGAAAACTGCAAATCTAGAAGAAAAACTTCAAATCTAGAAAAAACTTCAAATCTAGAATTACACGATTAGTTTTTCACATGACCACATTTCCCCTGCGCCCCGCCTCCACCCTCCCCCCCCCCCCCCGTTCTCCCCGTAAAAAACTTGGCAGGACCCTCCTGAAAAAGTGTCTTGAGCCTCGCGAAGGCTTTTCTTTCGTGAGTAACGAGCGTAGTGATAGTAACGACGGATCTCTGCGCGTGTGGTGTCGCCCCCCCCCCCCCCCCCCCCCCCCGCCAGCCGTCCCAGCTCAGCATGGATCACTTCTCAGGGCTGCACAACTGGTACGCGTGTTCCCACGCGCGCCCCACCTACTGCAACGTGTGTCGCGAGGCTCTGTCTGGGGTCACGTCACATGGCCTGTCGTGCGAAGGTACACGCGCACACACACACCTACACACCTATACACCTACACACCTACACACCTACACACGTCTACACACCTACACACGTCTACACACCTACACACCTACACACCTACACACACCTACACACCTACACACTCACACACACCTACACACACCTACACACCTACACACCTACCCACGTCTACACGCACGCACACCATGTGTAGGCACGCGCACACACACCTACAAACACAACAACCGCCGTTCGCCACTAAGCGGCGGTGACAACGCCACGGCGCTTGTGCCACGCTAGGTGTCCATTGAGGCCACGTGCAGTGTCGAAGGCCCGCTGGCAGGGGGTTACGTAACAACAACAACAACAACCGCCATTCGCCACAAAGTGGCGGTGACGTCACCACGACGCTTGTGCCAGGCTATGTGCACCTTGAGGCCACGTGAAGTGTCGAACGTAACACTCGCACACACCATGTGTAGGCACGCACGCACGTATGCACACACTCATGCATGCACGCACACTCGCACTGGTCTACATGCACACACACGCTTAGTGGCGTGTGTGCGTATTTGCCTGCAAACACCGTGTGTAGGAAAACATGCACACGTTGTGTATAGGCATGTACGCACGCATTGACAAGAGACATGCATACACTGACACTCGATGCACAATGAGCCCAATACATACACACTCAGACGTGGCCTGTTCTGCGAGGGTACTTCCAGACACAACAACAGCAATCACCATTCTTTGCTGAGCTGGCAGTCATGTCACCACAGCGCTTGTGCCAGGTTAGGTACACTTTTAGGCCGATCTTGATATCACCAATACCAGTTGTCAGCAAGTCTAATCAGCTCAAAGTCCTCTGGCATCACATCAACCCGACTCTTCTCTAGCCCATGCCTCCTCTATCCACTTGAACAGAGGCTGTTTGCGCATGCGGTGACAGGGCATTTGGGCTACATGACCCAGCTAATGCATTCTCACATGGGACTGTGTCCGAATGTTTTAAGGATCCATGATTCACTCGCATGATCCAACCAGGTTAAACCCAGAGCGTTGCATAGGCAGGCACAGCCTGAACAGTTTTTAAATTTTTCATGTACACATCCACATACCCACATGTGCATGTGAACACACACACACTCGCTCACATTCTCACGCCCCCATTGCGTGTGCAGTCTGTAAGTTCAAGGCGCACAAGCGATGTGCTGTCCGCGCCACCAACAACTGCAAGTGGACAACACTGGCATCTATCGGGCGAGATATACTGGAGGATGAAGACGGGGTGAGTGATGTCCCTGCCCAACAAACACACCCTGGGTCACGGACGCACACGATCGCATATACACAGAGACAACAAAAACAACTGCCGTGTGCCACTAAGTCGAAGTGACATCACCACAGTACTTGTGCCAGGCTAGGTGCCCTTTGAGCCCACTGAAGTGTCAAAGGTTTGCTGGGAGGATGTCTCACGGCACTGACCCAGTTGTTATGGGTTAACGGACTGAGATGACTGGCAGATGGCACTCCCTGTGCCCTCCACACTTCCAACTTTGTGTTTTATCTGCCCAGCACCCTGCTCACTTTTGTAAGCTTCGCCCCTCCACTCTCTGTTATTGTTGGAGGAAAATTGCCTCCAAATGCACAGTAGCATCTTTCATAAACCTCCTGGACAGAGGCCAATCTTGACACTGCTGGTACCAATCATTGGCAAGTTCACTCCAGTCCACATTCTCCCATACCACATCGGCCTGTCTCTTCTTTAGCCGATGCTGGGCCCGTTACACCTCTGTCAAGCAAGAGAGAAGCTACTGGGGCATGCAGTGGCTGGGCTTGTGGGCTACGTTACCAAGCCAACGCAATCTCGCCTACCGGAGGAGCTCACTTAATAGACTGTCCAGATCTTTCAAGGATCTGTGAGCTCCTTACTCAATCCAGTCTCGTTAAACCCACGATTGATCGTAGACAGACAAGACTGAATATTTCGAGCTGATGACACACGAGGAGGTGGTATGGCCAGAACAGTGCCTGGCCGTATTTATCTCCCTCAATGTTGATGTTTAATACACTCTACCAGGTACTCGATTTAAGTTGAACGACAAGCGGCCTTGGACTGGTTTCAGATGCCACTTGCCACCTAAGCTCGCCTTGACCAGCAACAGCCCCATAGAAAGAGGCGGGGGGTGGGGGGCAAAAACCGGATTTGAATCCATGATCTCAGCGACGCAGGCCCAGTGTCACCCTAAACCACCTGACCACCCCTTCACTCACACTCTGACCGTTTGCTGCGCTCCTCTTCACGTTCCCAGGTAGCCATGCCTCACCAGTGGCTGGAGGGGAACCTGCCGGTGAGCGCCCGGTGCTCCGTCTGTGACAAGACGTGCGGCAGCGTGATGCGACTGCAGGACTGGCGGTGCCTTTGGTGCAAGGCAATGGTAGGGCTCTTTTGGGAGTATGCAAATGTTCGTGGGGAGTGGTAGCATCGCGGTTCGTGTACTGGGTGGTCCACATGTCTTGTGACTTGCAAACGTTTTTTTCATTTTCTTATTCATTTCTTTTTCTACACCAATTAGTGTCCAAAAATATTACGTTTTAGAGAATTAAATGGGGGTCATAAGAAATCTAGAACGCCCGGTTACTACTCTACAATACCAAATACTTGAGGTCAAATCCGGCTACCCGAATTCGGTTCTCGCTTGCGTCCAATATATCAGTGGGGAATAGACCTGAACCAGTCCTGGGTCTCCCGTTGGTCGACTCGGCCTTAAACGAGTACCCGGTGCATTGTATAAACATCCGCAGTGGGCAGACGAAAGGAAGCCGGGCGTGGTCCTAGCCACACCACCCCCACGTGCGCTGTTTTTGCCGTCATAGGTGCTCGCTGACAGCGCTTGCCCCAACAGTCTAAGAACGGCCATATCGGGGATCTCTGTCGTCCATCTTTATCGCCAAATAAGTTCGCCGCTGGCTGAAGGCTTCCCCAAGCCATCGGCATCCCTCTCGGTCTTGCGATGTAACAGCCGCCCACGGACGTCTTCTCGGGCGTGCTTTGCCACCTTCGGCTGCCGCCCTGTCGTTGGTCTCGACCCTCGGCCATCATCCCTGTGTTTAGTCGGTTGCCTTTCCCCTGCACCTCTGATTCGCACGGTTGGCTGCGTACGGTGCGAAAGAAGTTCAACGTACATTACGTACATGCTGACATGTCCCGCCCGAGTGAGACAAACGCCTGCGCATAAAACCCACACGTAAATGTTCTCGTTTCTTAGCAGCCACAGTGGTATCATCATTGTCAATCGTCACCGCTCGGGGTATTTCCCATTCCCCCGCTCTCTCCCGTAAGCACTTGCATCACACGGATCCGCAACAGGACACCCCTTCCTTATAATCCAGCCTCGCTTGCGTCTTGTGTGACGTCCGCACGTGGCGACTGGCGCACCACTGCAACGGGCTGATAAGCCTCCACTTCCCTGAACTTAACGTGCGTGGTGATAAAATAAATAAGCAGTAACGTTTCGTTGACTTTCAAACCGCTTGTGACGCACATTACGCCACGCCAATCCGTTTTATTTTCCACGGTCCGCGGTTTCAGACCGCACGAGTTACTGCTTGGGTTATTTTGGAGATTGGTGTTCAGTTTTCTTGGTTTTGTCTGGAACGTATGCTTTGCAAAAAAACACAACGTTCGATACGAGTGTTGTGAGACGCTCAAACACGCCATTGTCTGCATCCCTTTCGTCATTTTCAGCGTCTCCATCTTCATCTGTTCGTAAGAGGTCTTACTTTCCAGCATGCACAGATCCCGATCCGTGTAAATTACTTTCTCTGGCAGCCTAAGAACAAGCCAATAGTATCCCTTTCATTATAACGCAGATGCAGGGATTGCAACTGAGATGAGGAATTTCCACCACTGGCTCCGGGCTGTAAACAGCACTGCCTCAAAGCAAATTTTTGAGGAGCGGGAGACCGCTTGCAAATCGCTGTGCCTCACTGAAGATTGGGAAACACTGCGATATAGTGGGTGAAAATGGTGGACAGCATCACGCAGGTGTCGGGAATTCTCACGAGGGATGGATTGCCTTCAACACTAGCAAGCTCCAGTTGTTGTCGTCCTTGTGTGTCCTCTGGTAGGTACATGGGGCCTGCCGAGATGCCCTGCCCCGAAAGTGCCCTCTCGGTCAGTGCAAGGTGTCTGTCATCCCGCCTCCTGCACTCAACAGCATCGACTCGGACGGTACGGGTGCACGCGCGTGCGTCTATGCACGCTTGTTCACGCGTGCGTGCAAAGGCACATTGAGGGGTGATGGCACGGTGGTGACGCATGTGCTTCAAAGCAAAAAGGGCCTGGATTCAATTCCAGGCTCGGATGCCTTTCTGTCTAGAGTTTGTACGTTCTTCCCCCTGTCCTGCATGGGCTTCCTCTGTTTTCTCCATTTTCCTTCCATAGCTAGAACGGAACAAAACCATACATGGCCGACCCCCGCACGTGTGCCATTCTTGGCCTTGCTCTTGCCCCCGACAGTCAGTCAGAGCTATCGGGGGAATCTCTTGTCTTGTGTGTCCATGCGTGTGCAGGCTTCTGGAAGGCCACGTGCCCCCCCTCGTGCTCCAGTCCCCTGCTCGTGTTCGTCAACTCGAAGAGCGGAGACAACCAGGGCGTCAAGTTCCTGCGCCGGTTCAAGCAGCTGCTCAACCCGGCGCAGGTGTTCGACCTCATGAACGGCGGCCCGCACCTGGGGTGAGAGCGCGCATAAAGACAGGTGCACGCAACATGTGTGTGCGTACACGCACGCAACACGCGTGTAGCACACACGTGTCCGTGCACACGTACGCTTGTGTGAATGCTTGCGTAGACAGATCTTTACTAATTCGTGGTTTTGCCAGTCATCTCAGTCAGTCAGCCCATGGTACCTGGGTCTCATCCCGTGACCTCCTGCCAGTGGGCTTTCGACACTTCACGTAGCCTTGAAGTGCACATGGCCTGACACAAGCGCCCTGGCGACGTCACCGACATTTAGTGGTTGTTGTTGTACACAGCTGGGCTGTCGTCTATTAACATGTTTACACACTGCCCTTCCCCACTCCTGTCCTGTCCAGGCTGCGTTTGTTTCAGAAGTTGACACGTTCCGCATCCTGGTGTGCGGGGGGCGATGGCAGCGTGGCTGGGTCCTCTCGGAGATTGACAAACTCAACCTGCACAAGCAGGTGACGTGAATGATGATGATGATGGTGGGTCATGTTATCGATGTTGATGATGAAGGCTCCCTAAACCGCATCTGCACAAACTGTGGCACATGCATATATCCGATCCACAAATAAGGAGGCGACATCACAGCGATACACTCCACTGCTCCTGACGCGGTTATCTGGCTTGACCACCTGCTGTTTGTGAGCAGCACGCCACCTTGGCATTACATCTGTGTGTTTCCAGCCAGCACGCATTCTGCCTTTGAGATGAGGCTGCTCATCGTTTGCAGCGAGTGTTGTATTCGGATAGCGATGTCAACAACGATGATATTAATTGACGTTAACGGCTCTAACACCGATGTATACCCTCGGCAGCGTCACACTAGGTTGGGAATAACACCGATGCTGCAGACATTGTAACTGATGATTGTAATGACGACGACAACGACGACGATGATGATGTTGTTCATGATTGGTGTTGATGGTGATGCTCGCACACTACTCTTCCCCACAGTGTCAGATGGGTGTTCTCCCACTGGGCACGGGCAACGATCTGGCCAGGGTCCTTGGCTGGGGAGCTGCCTGCGACGATGACACACAGCTGCCCCAGATCCTGGAGAAGCTGGAACGTGCCAGCACCAAGATGCTTGACCGGTCAGTGGAAATTACACCTTCCCATGGCAGGTGTTGGCATGGAAATCTCCTTAGGCCTACCACAGTTGACTTCCCATAATAGTGGCCATGGTGCCCATCCGAAATGACCCCAGAAGGATGATAACAACAACGAATGATAATTATGTTTCCTTATAAAGATGATTTTAATGAGGATTAATATGATGATTATGATATTGGATGAATTATGATTACGATGATGTAGAGTTTTCGTGGCCTTGATTTTTAATGGTGATTGAGTTAACTATGTCACTGCTGTGATGATGACTACAATGAATGCATTGAACTGTGCTTGTGAGAATAGATAATTTACAATGCATGCATACTTTACACAAATTATGCCCCCAGTTACTCTATTGGAACATTCAAAGCAATTTTCGCCCCCCCCCCAGTGAAAACTTGGCAGGACCCTCCTCAAAGAGTCCTGTGTAAACAAGCATCCTAATAAATGTAACATTTACGTTAATTGGGTATACATAACTCTATAAACCAGGCACCCACCTTCAGGATCTCGCACTGACTAACGAGGTGAAGCATGGTCTAACATGTGCCATGACTGATCCGGTGTGGGGGGGGCGGGGGGGGGGGAGTCCTTCATCCAGCAGTAGATGGAGAACGATCTGTATATGTTAATTCTTATTATTTTTATCCCACATGCCTTAAGTGGAGCCTGTTTCGCCACCACCTTCAAACGATTTCGACTAGCGACATCTCCCCCTGCCACGACTGCACGATCCGGCAGGAGAAGGAAATGACGGCGAGGGCGCGGTGGCAGCGACGATCGTCGTTCGCGATGACCTCCGGGCCTTGAACTTTGACCCCCCAGGTGGAGCATCATGACCTACGAAACTCGGGTCACCATGCGGAACAGCGTCTCCATGGTGACGGACGGCGAGGACGAGGATGGAAGGGTGATTTCTCTTTACAACAGACCCTCGCACGCTGCATTCGTACACCTTGAGCCCCTGCTACCCATTCCCGATTATCCGTGGGGTACTCGCTCGCTGTGTTGGGGCCCGTAGAAGGTAGTGCGGCAAAATCCCATCGTTGTGCAGTACCTCCCGGGGTTTTGCGTCTATGCTCCTCCTGCCCAGCCTTTGCCGACCCGCACTGACCAGCATGGTGTAGCACGGTCAGTTCACCCCCACGATCCGCACGGCGTGGGGGTTGTCCTCGTCCAGCTGACAAAGGGCTTCCACGTTGCGCTTTACTCGCGTACCGACTACGCACACTCGCTCGGTTTAGCCATCCACAAACCCATGTTTAAAATTCCACTTTGCCGTGACGAGGACGAGGCTATTTGTTGGATGAACGCTGTTGACTTCCCACACAACGGTGCTTTTTTTTTTAAAATTCACCTTGGAGTGCTTTTTTTTATTCACCTTAGAGGAAGACTGATAGTGATGGGCTGAATTGACTGCCGGACCTGGGTTTGAACCTGTAGATTTCTGACTCTTGAGTCGACTGCTACGACCACAGCAACACCCGAGCGGATTGACGCATGCATTTTCTCACTGTGCTCTTGGCCGTCTACTGCATTTCGGATTATCTCACGTTTGAGAGAGCGTGGGAAGGCGCGAGAGAGAGAGCGCGTGTGGGAAAGTGAGTGTGGTCATTGTCTGTCAGTGAGAGAGTGCTGGCGATGTTGGGGAAAGTTTAGTTGTCTTGATGTGAAAGTGAGTGAATAAAAGAATGAGTGTCTGGATATAGGAGGTGATGGTGTTGTCTTGGTGAGTGTGAGAGGGTCAATGAGTGGGTGTATGAGAGGGTGAGAGTAAGTGAGTGGTCATGCAGGAGGTGATGTTGGAGTAGTCTGGGTGAGTGTATGTGAAAGGGTGGGTGCGTGAGTGAGTGGTAAGTGCATGAGAGGGTGAGTGAGAGTGAGTGAGAGTGGTGAGTGCAAGAGGTGATGGTGGAGTTGTCATTGCTGCTAGGTGCAGATTGCCGCCTACGAGGACTCCGTGGCCGAGCATCTTACGCGGATCCTCAATTCTGACCAACACTCTGTCGTCATCTCCTCCGCAACGTGAGCTCGCCCACTCACTCACTCCTTCATTCTCTCAATCACATGCCCGCTCACTTAATCGTTCATTCACTTTAGAATTTATTCAGTCATTAAATCAATAGGTAACTCATTCACTCGCTGCGCATCGTCCACCCTTGTACCCACTCGCTCACTCATCGGTCATTCACGCGTAAATTTCCGACTCGCTCACTCAGCAGTTCACCCATCAAGCATTCGCTGTCTTGTCTATTCACTCAATCATTCACTCTCCAGCTCGCCCAGTTGATCACTCGCTGGCCTGTTCATTCACACTAACATTCGCTCAATCGCCCACTCACTAGCCAGCTCACTCACTCTTGTCATTCACTCATTCTCCCAATCGACGATCCATACATTTCCACACGTGCTCACATGTGCGCATGCGTGTTTGCGTGCGAATGTTCTTGCATGTGTATGTATGTATAGATGTGGTCGGTGTGTCCTTTGTATTGGCAGGGTGCTGTGTGAGACTGTGAAGGATTTTGTCGCTCGCACGTCGGCAAGGCCTATGAGAGAACCACGGAGAATCCTCGCGAAGCTGAGAATATGGCGCGGAAGGTTTGTACACTCGTACACAAAGACAAAGGTCCCCTGTATAGCCTTTACAGACTGTTGGGGCAAGTGCTTTTCGCGAGTAGCAGCGCCTACGAAGGCCGGAACGGTACACGAGGGGTGGGTGGCCAGCCCCACGCCCGACCGCCTTTGTCTCCCCAGTGGAGATGTTTACAACACCGCACCGGGTACTCATTTGAGGCTAAGTCGACTGAGGGGAGTCCCAGGACCAGTTCAGATAATCAGCACTGGTGTTGGCCATGAGCAGGAATCGAACTCAGGTCGCCGGGTTCTGCGCACAGCGCGCCATCCGCTACACAACCGCTCTCCATAAACACACTCACCTGCATGCAATCGCATACATACACAATCACATAGACACACACTCATATACATATTCTTACACACACTCGTATATGCACAGCATACATAGACTGATGGAGCAAGCCCTGTTTGTGAGCACCTGTTAAGGTTGGTGCTTATGCACAGGGGTTGTGTGGCCTGCACCACACTTGGCCACCTTTGCCGTTCTCGTACTGATGCACACGCCCGAGACGCCACCTGATCCCAAGCCCAGTTGCAATGGAGTTAACATCTGGGGTAGGCAGCTGGTCATAAAACTACTCCCAGACTATGATTTCTAGTCCTAGAGAGCAACATACACACCGGTATTACACGTTCACGCATATTCTTGCATATTCATGCTTGCATACACGCAAATCGCAATCGACCATTCACACACGCGCTACATGAATCGCATTTAATCAATCGACGCATCGTGATGGTCCGAGTGTAAAAGGGTGCGTGTGCTTGCGTGACGGCAGTGTGCCGTCCTGAAGGAGAAGCTCGACTCCCTGCTGCGAACCTTGAACGACGAATCTCAGGCCACCGCCACCCTCCACGCCGCCACGGCAACACCCCCCATCGCTGAGGAGACTGAGAGCGTGGGTGACCCCGATGGAGGCGCTGCAGCCAAGGAGAAGGGGGTCGTGACCCCATCGCTGGTATGGGGATGGGGGGGTGGTGGATTTTGTTGGGTGGAGGGGGCAGAGTTCTTTTGACCGTCGCCACCCCCTGGACTCTCCATTAGTTCTAAAATGAACTTTTTATTTTACCAGGTAAGGCCCACTGAGCTAAATAACTATTTTTCAGAGTGACCTGGCCACAATTCTTGAGCTCAAGAAATGGCTTATATAATCACGAGGACATTTATAGCAGCCAAATACTCGGAACGCATATTGATTCTAAATGGGGAGGGGAAAACCCGGAGGATCCTGAGAAAAATGTACACGACCAGTATACAGCAGGCGTGAGGGTCGGGGTTGAACACACGACCTCCCGCATACCAGGGGAGGTAGTTAACATCTCGCCACCGCGGCGCCCCTCTACGCGTGTCACCCAGCAGTCCGCGCACCGCTTGTTGTGGTTATCCGGCGTGTCGTGGTGACGGCAGTGTGCCGTAGGTCGCCGAATTTCTCTGGTCAGGTTGAACCCTCACTGTACTCCCCGATTTAATGAAAATGATAGCGCTAAATATTGACAAGTGAATACTAATCGATTTATAGATGTGTGTTTGTGTGTACTGTATATCAATATTTATGTGCGTATTGTACTCGCACATGTGCGCGCATCTGTATAAGTGGGGAGTGTTGGCGCACTGCGCGATAAACCTGGCGACTTGGGTTAATATAATCGTAGTTATTGCTCAGAGTTGAAAGGAGGCTTTGGTGTGGCAATAAGAGTCACGCTCCTATGATTGCTCCTTAGCCAGATAAGTAAAATAGCCATTCTGTTACAGGTCAGATGACATTTTTGTGCTAACCATATTAATGGTTTTATTTTGCCGAATAATAACATTGTAATGATGGAAGGAACTGTGGTATTCAGTTTAACACGTAGGCTTTCGCGACCAATATTATTCATAATAAAGGTTTTTGGGTTAGATCGCGTTTATATATAAATGTGTCGTAACCCTCCACCACCCGACACGGCCAATCAGCAAAAAAAGTGTCACGTTGACAAAAGACAAATAATTCACTACTTCAGCCCACCGGTGTGTTGAAGAGTTAATCCACATTTACAGTTTGAGTACGACGTTTCGCTGGTAAATACTTCCAGCATCATCGGGCAATTCGCCAGAATGGTAAAGCCCTCGCTTGCTCCGGTTTTATATAGAGCAGCAGGGTGACGTCATCAATTAACTCATCAGGTGCAGTGATTAGAGGCGGAGGGGGGGGGTAATGTAATTATATAATCGATTAGTAATCAGTCATTGGTTATGATTAGTAATGAGTTGTAGATTAGTAATTCTTTAAATCAAAATGTAATGTGTATTATTTAATAATACGCTTCCAGGCCGCACTAAGCCGGTAGCTGTCAGAGCGATTAAAGTTATTCTTGTTCCTCTCAATTTCAATGGATTCTCTAATTAGTCTTTTGTCAACGTGACACTTTTTTTGCTGATTGGCCGTGTCGGGTGGTGGAGGGTTACGACACATTTATAAATAAACGCGATCTAACCCAAAAACCTTTATTATGAACTGTGGTATTGTCAGTATTCAGGAATCACCCCTATTGGGCAGCTATAAATGTATTTTAATTGAAATGGTTGTGACCCAGTTCATGGGTGGGAAGGAAAAATCTGCTCGGGGTTTTTTGCGAGAGCGTGCACGTTGAGAGGGAAACGTGGCCTCCTCGCAGACCCTGAACCTCAACCACACAAACCTGAATTTGTAAAAAAAGAGCCACCACGGTCAACAAAAAGTTCGAAGGTCATTTTCGAAAATGCTGTTTTTACTCGTAGCCAAATATTTTGCGTCGTTATGAAATTTGGATTAAACCATTTAGACCATCCGCCACCCGGTATAGCCAAGCAAAGCAAGTCGCACGCTTATTCTGGTTTCCTTCGTGTAGTTTCAAGTTATTATCGTATCCGATTGCTAAATTTGATTGCAAAGATTGCTCTCCAATTTCAGCGGGTGAGCTGAAACAACAATAACACACGCGTTAAACGCATGTGCCTCGTGACAATTTTGCCCGTTGTCGGGTCTTACGACCGGAATTTGTCCAGATCATAATTCACGTGGCATAACCCGGCAATCAATAACGAACCATCATCTCTTCTTACATCAACTCGGCGTCTTCATCATCATCGGCCACGATCAATCCAGGACTCGGGCGTCTTCCCCACAGCCGCGTACCGAGGTGTCCCCTCTCCTGTGTTGTGCGAGTTCAGGCGGACGCTGCCCCAGACGCTTCCCCTCCCTCCGTGGGCCCCCGCCCTCCCCGCCGCTCCTCCAAGCCCCAGGTGTTTCGACCGCGCGAGCAGCTCATGTCGCGCGCCAACAGCCTGAAGAAGGCCATCCGACAGATCATCGAGCAGGCTGAGAAGGGTGGGCCTCCATCGCGCACGCACGCACGCACGCTACTTGCACATGCCTATAACGCTGTGTACTATTTTTTGTTTTGTTCCTGGGTAGTAAAACGTTGTTTCCTAATTGCTTAAAGAGTACAGAAAATGGCTATTATTCCCCACAAAGTGAAACGTGAGTTGCAGGACTGATTGCTTTCATACCGGCACTTAAACATTTTTTAACGACTGCCTGTTTACTTCTGCTATTGCTATTAAACGCACATGTAACTGTGGCGAAACATAAACCATGAAACGTCTATTGACCTTAGCGAGGGCTACAAATCGGTCCATATCACGTGCCAGGGTCCATCCGCTACTTTTCCACTTCGTAAATCTGTTTGAATTGTGTTATTGGCTAGCAATGCAGTATACGTACAGCCCTCTTTCCGGTATACTGTTGGATGAGGGCCTCCCCCACACCACGTGGGTTATGGGAGTTATTTTTTTAAAATTATCAAATATGTTTTATTGCACATCCTCCCTCTCACAACATTACATTGCAACATCCTCACATTCTCGAAGGAATTTCCAGTTGCATTGATGGTATCCAGCACACTGGACTCTCAGAGCAGGCAGGAGGGGGGTGACTTTACCGAAAGACCCAAAGAGTAGGGGTGATTGGCCAGGTCATTGCCATCCTAGACTCGGATATTTAAGACTGTTGTAAGGTGTAGGAATAGACCCCATGTACGTGTTGTATTCTTCTTCCTTGTAAGGATCATGGGAATTATTTGTTGATGCTTTACCGTGCTGCGTGATATTGAAGGCAGGGGAGAGCATGGACGTGAGAACGGAGTGTGTGGTTCAGTGGATTTTCCAGACTGCCCCCTGCTGCTCAACACAGAGCCCTGCAAGCATTTGTTCGGGTGTGGTCTTTCTCACGGAGCACGTGAATAGAGGGGCCACAAGCGACCTGGCCACAACTATAAACTATATTTTTTTTCCAGGCAAGGCCCTACCACTGAGCTATATAAATCTTTTAGAAGCGACCTGGCTAAAATGATAGCTCAACGAAGTGGAAATTTATAGCAGCAAAATACTCGTGCATTTTTCTAAATGTGGAGGGAAAAACCTGAGGACTCTGAGAAAAATCCACACGACCACAGAGAGAGAGAGAGCCATGCAAACTCCAAACTTGTGTGTTTAATACCATTTGGGCCTCAGGACCATCATTAATTATATATTTAAGGCAGTGGTATTGACGAATGCGTACAGTGTTTTTGTTACTTGTGTCTGTAAAACAGTGCAGTACAGTATTACCCAATAATGTGTTCGGGCATGCTCGTGGCCATCCATTCAAGCACTCTCCAGGAATCAAAATCCTGCTAAGCATTGTAAAACAACACTTTCTAAAGAAAATAATAATTATATATCCAACGTTTCACTTCGCCCACAGCTGTGGACGAGCAGAACGCGCAGACGCAGGCCCACCGCAGCAGCCTCCACCCTGACGACCCCCCCGCGGAGGCTCACGGGATCACCGTGAGCTCCGCGCCGGACGCCGCGGCCGCCGATTGCGAGGACGACACTGCCCCCGACTCGGCCGCCGCGGCCATGCCGGCGTCCGTGGCGGCGACGCATGCTCCAAGTCTTGGCTCGCGATCGGGCCTCGCCCGCAAAAGTAAGAGAGAGGCTCGGAATGTTGGGGCGGGGATCTGGAGAGCGTCGGGGTGAAATGACACCCCGTATCCCGAGCACGATTTTTACATTTTGACCGCGAAGTTGCCTTTGTAGAACTGTCCACAAGTAGCCTGTAGTGTGCCCCTCGATCAAAACTCCGCGACATCGTTAACTCACGGTGGCGGCACGGCTGTCTGTGCAGGTTCCAGGGCCTCGAGCAAGAGCAGCCTGCTGGGTTCAGGGGCCCCCGGGGTGTTTGGAGTTGCAGGCCTCAGCGGAAGCAAAGAGAATCTGCCGATTCTGAACACGCGCATCATCAACCAGAGTAAATGTCACACGCTCGCGTGCGGCTCGTGTCACCCGCACACCAGGGCCGCTGTCGCGTGCGTTCAGTTGCGATCGCCCGTTTGGGTGCCAGCCGCCATTCAGGCCGACATAGGAACAGGTGGGGGGGGTGGTGGTGGTGTGAGTGCTACGCGTGCAGGCACGCACGCACACACAGGAATACATGCTTTTGTCACACTCTGGCCCTTCGTGTCATCGTGTCTCCGTGAGACTGCTTGCCTCTGATGTGCGCTGCTTCGTTGTGTGTTTGCAGTTGTCCTTGCATCTCATTTGCGATGGTTCCATGTCTCTCCATGCCTCCGAGTGTCCCCGCTGTTTCCCACTTGGGCTCACAGGCTAGGTGTGCAACTACAAGATGAGAGAGCCACTGATGGCTGTTTTACCTATTACGCATTCCCATTCTAAGATGATGATTGATGATGGGCTGAGTCAACAGCTTGATGGTGATGATGTTCTGTGTGTTACCTTTGTCTCAAGCGTGATGTGTCCTGTGCCCTTGGTTGCCCGTGTGTGTGTATGTCTTAGGTGCTCGCTAAAAGCACTTGCCCCAACAGTCTGTTAAGGCTATACTGGGGGGGGATCTTTGTCTTTTTATGTCTTTGTTTTGTGTGCTTGTGTCTTTGTGTATACGTGTATACGGGGAGCGGTAGTGTAGTGGTTATCGCACCGCGCTATGAAACCAGCGACCCAACTTCAATTCCCGCTCACGGCCAACACCAGTGACAATTATCTGAACTGGTCCTGTGCCTCCCCTAGGTCGACTCAGCCTCCAATGAGTACCTGGAGCTGTGCGTAAACATTGCCATACTCGGGAGACCAAAGGCGGCCGGGCTCGACGCTGGCCACTCACCCCCTCGTGTACCGTCCCAGCCTTCATCGGTGCTCACTAACAGCACTCTCCCGAAAAGTCTGTCGAGGCTATAATGGGGATCTTTGTGTGTACGTGTGCAGGTCTGCGTGCTGGCCTCACTGCGTCGCTCTTCACGCTGGGTGCCTGCGTCTCCCCGTCCATCGCCCCCGACGTAGACTCACTGTGAGTCCCAGTGGTGCTTGCGTGTGTGCGTGCGTGCGCGTTAGAGTATTTGGCTGTGTGTGTGTGCGTGTGTGTGTGCACGTGTTTTGGAGTATTTAGCTGCTATACGTTTCCACATGATTAGCCACTGCGTTGGGCTATCACAAATGATAGCCCAAGCTTCTGAAAGAGCTCAGTGGGCCTTACCTGATAAAAATTAAAAATAGTTTCAATAATTTATTGTGTGTAAACAAACGTGTGTTTTGTTTGTCCGGGTGAGCATGTGTAAAGAGAGGAGTTGTGCGTGTGTAGAGTTGTGTGGAGCGGTTAATTAGCACAGTAGGGGGTACAAGCTGGTGCATCTACCAGTCATCTCAGTCAGCCTACCCATTTCACCTGGGTCTGCGCCGTGACCTCCTGCCAGCGAGCCTTGACACTTGACGTGGCCTCAAAGTGCACCTGGCCTGGCACAGGCGCCGTAGTGACGTCACCGTCACTTCATGCGAATGGCGGCTGTTGGTTAGTGTAGTGGTTAGAGCACTGTGCTACGAGTTCATTTAAGGGCCACATCGGTGCTGATTAACTGAACTAGTGTATACTGACGTGTGGTGGTACAGGGGACACGTGGATGTATGTACGTGGAGGGTGTGTGTGCGTAGCAATGTGTGTGTGTGTGCCTGCGATTGTACAGGTGTGTGCGTGCGCACTGCGTTTGTGCGTGCGTATGTCTATCGCGTAGGTTGTATGGGAGTTTGCGTGTGTAACTTTCTGTGTGTGCGGCCTGCGCGTTCACAGTGAAGGCTACACGGAGAAGTGCGTGATGAACAACTACTTTGGCATCGGCCTCGACGCCAAGATTTCCCTCGACTTCAACAACCGTCGTGAGGAACACCCGGAGAAGTACAGGTGCCTCCTCTCACCGCCGTCACCACTCCACGCTCACCCCGATCCTACTGCCAACACACGCTCCTAACACCAACACACCATTATCAATAGCGCACATACTGCACACACACCGAACACTCAGACTTCATCCTAAATCTTGATTTTGTTCCTGTTGCCCGGCTCTCTGACATTGATATGCTAATCTTCTCATTGGCACACCTCCGGTGGCTGGGCCGTGTCACATTAACATGCTAATCTCTCACATTTACGTACAAATTCCTTCTCTAGCTCTGCCCACTTACCCTTGGGTTGGGCCCACCAAAATCCTATATAAACTCTTGTTGCAGCAGCTCTTTCTCCTACGTCAGCAGTTCTCCTGCTGTGTTTGTTTCACCTGATGACGGTTGCTTGTGTTGCGATCGAAACGTCGTGATCTATTAATTTTCGATCTACGTGACTTTACTGAAAGAACCAAAGAGTATTCATCCTAAATCTTCACATTCTTTATATGTAAGGTGTGTTCGTGTTTCCTAACTTGATTCCCATCGCGCCATCGTCCTCGTCACGGCATGCAGCGTTCCTGCGTAACTCTCCCAGACCAGTGGTTCACCCCGTGTCATTAAAAAAATTACCCGTGGAAGGAGATATTATAGAACTACTGCTGAGATCCCTTTGAGTAGCTGTTTTAATCCATGCACTGCAAGATGGGGGGAGGGGGTTGTTTGGTCGGGGGGGGTGACACACTTTCACACACGCCCTGCTACAGAGAAATGTTCATCGCATGGAGTCAAGCAGACGTATATTCTATAAATGTAGCCAAATTACAGGAAAAAACTTTCATTTATCGTGAGGGTTTTTTTTTTGTACGCGCTTTGCTGGACTCACTTTTTGTGCGATCGCTTGTTGTCTTTTCCACCACTGCTCCTGGCGCGCAAACTGCGGTCTCATTGTGCCCCTCCTTGGTCAGGAGTCGAATCCAAGAACATCATGTGGTACGGAGTCCTGGGCACGAAGGAGCTGCTTCAGAAAACGTACAAGAACCTCGAGCAGAGGGTCCTGTTGGAGGTGAGGACTCATTCGTTGTGACGGCCGTCAGAGAGTCTTTGACGGAGGAGTTAGAGGTTGTTCTTGAGCTGGACTCGAACGGGAAGCGGTGGGTCGGTAGTGTGGATGACCAGTCGGAGGGAATTTCCAGACTGAGAGGGTAGCAGAGGAGGAGCGAAGGTTGGCCAAGTTCTTCGGAGGTAGGCAAGAAACCAGTCCATCTTAAAGTTGGTTAGCATGATCTTTTTTATGCATTGTATAGAAAGAAGTAATTGTCCGGAGATGAAGGTTTTGACACTTTACAAATCCACATTCGTGCGTGTGTCTTGTCTTTCCGCGTGCGCGAAATTCCCCAACTGCCCTCGCCATTGCCCAATGCCCAGTGCGACGGGCAGCCCATTCCCTTGCCCTCCCTTCAGGGCATAGCTGTGCTGAACATATGCAGCTACGCTGGAGGAACCAACTTCTGGGGAGGCACCAAGGAGAACGACGTGAGTTGGCGAGTGCTCGTTCACAGTCCCCCGTCTCTGTCCCTCACACCCGTCACAGACACACCTGTCAGATACTCACCTCATCATCATCGTTATCACCCCATGATCAGTCCACCACTGGATGAAGGCCACCCCAAGCCATCATCATCATCGTCGTCGCTCGCAGCCCTGCGATGTAACAACCCGTCTAGCACTGCGGCACGGGACCCGACCCCGTCGCTCCATCTCCGTGGTAGACGTCTTCTCGGGCGCATTCCGCTGCTTCCAGCTGCCACTCCATCATCGGTTTCGTCCACCGACCATCATCCCTTCTCGTGGCGCGTCCGGCCCAGGCCCACTGATCCAAACGCATGCGAGTTAAAAGACAGCTCATGGGAGGTGATGCGAAAAGTGTTGTTTTGCTAATTTGTTCGGGGTCTGCCTTTGCGCCTCCCTTGCTGCCCTGTGTTACAGACTTTCACGGCTCCCTCCTTTGACGACAAGATCCTGGAGGTGGTGGCCGTGTTTGGCAGCATGCAGATGGCCGTGTCCAGAGTTATAACTTGCAGTACCACCGCATCGCGCAGGTGAGAGGATGGAGGAGAACACGGCCCCTTGTTCAAGAGGGTCATGCCAAGCTTTCATCGGTCACGAGTGATGTTGTTAAGTATAATAATCCCAATTAAGTAATTTTACAAGTACATTTTTCAACATTTTAATGTATGAACACATCCGAAATTACGTCCGCTGTGGAGATGAAGTGATGAAAATTAGCTCGTGCACAGACTCGGTGGATTCGTTACATCATCGCAGAATCGTGGGACGTGTGGCGGTGGTTGGGGAGGCCTTGAACCAGAAGTGGACTTTTCATCGCTGGCGACTGATGACGATGATTTACAAACATTTGCGCGCGTGTGCCGTGCCGCACCTGGGGAGCGGTGGCGCAGTGGTTAGCGCACTGCACTACAAACCCAGGGACCCGAGTTCGATTCCTACTCGCCACCAATATAACAGTGACGGTTATCTGAACCGATCCTGGGACTCCCCTAGGTCGACTCAGCCTCAAATTAGTACCTGGTGCGGTGTGTAAAAACATCGCCACTGGCTACTGGCCAACCATCCTCTCGTGTGCCGTGCCGGCCTTCATAGGTGCTACTCGCTCACAGCACTTGCCCCAACAGTCTGTTAAGGCTACACGGGGGGATCTTTGTCTTTGCAGTGCCGCACAGTGCGAATCAGCATCCTGGGGGAGGAGGGGCTGCCCGTGCAGGTGGACGGGGAGGCGTGGGTGCAGCCGCCCGGATTCATCCGCATCGCTCACCGCAACCGCGCTCAGATGCTCACGCGGGACAGAGTGAGAATCCCCCACCTCCACTGCAGCAGCAACAGGACTGAAGATGCTGGAGAGAAGGGGTTCAGTGGCCCGCAGAAGCGGGCCAAGAGAGAGAGTTCAGCGGCCCGCAGAAGGGGGCCGAGAGAGAGAGAGAGAGGAGTTCAGCAGCCCGCAGAAGGGGGCCAAGAGAGAGAGAGTTCAGTGGCCCGCAGAAGGGGGCCAAGAGAGAGAGAGAGAGAGGGGTTCAGCGGCCCGCAGAAGGGGGCCAAGAGAGAGAGAGTTCAGTGGCCCGCAGAAGGGGGCCAAGAGAGAGAGAGAGAGAGGGGTTCAGCGGCCCGCAGAAGGGGGCCAAGAGAGAGAGAGAGAGGAGTTCAGTGGCCCGCAGAAGTGGGCCAAGAGAGAGAGAGAGGGGTTCAGCGGCCCGCAGAAGGGGGCCAAGAGAGAGAGAGAGAGAGTTCAGTGGCCCGCAGAAGGGGGCCAAGAGAGAGAGTTCAGTGGCCCGCAGAAGGGGGCCAAGAGAGAGAGAGAGAGAGAGTTCAGTGGCCCGCAGAAGGGGGCCAAGAGAGAGAGAGAGAGTTCAGTGGCCCGCAGAAGGGGGCCAAGAGAGAGAGGAGTTCAGCAGCCCGCAGAAGTGGGCCGAGAGAGAGAGAGAGAGAGTTCAGTGGCCCGCAGAAGGGGGCCAAGAGAGAGAGGAGTTCAGCAGCCCGCAGAAGTGGGCCGAGAGAGGAGAGAGAGAGAGTTCAGTGGTCCGCAGAAGGGGGCCAAGAGAGAGAGAGAGAGAGAGGTTCAGTGGCCCGCAGAAGGGGGCCAAGAGAGAGAGAGAGTAGTTCAGTGGCCCGCAGAAGGGGGCCGAGAGAGAAAGAGAGAGAGAGAGTAGTTCAGTGGCCCGCAGAAGGGGGCCGAGAGAGAAAGAGAGAGAGAGAGTAGTTCAGTGGCCCGCAGAAGGGGGCCGAGAGAGAAAGAGAGAGAGAGAGTAGTTCAGTGGCCCGCAGAAGGGGGCCGAGTTATGCTACTTCTAACGGCAGTTTTCAGAGGCACCGAACCAGTTATTGCTGAGATCTCGGTTTAAAATGTTGGGGCTAGGATCTTTCAAGTGTCAAGTTTTATTTGTTTAAACCAGATGGGAACTCAAGAGTTCCGATTATTCTCAATTGCAAGACTGATCTGGGTTCACCAAAATAAATTATAATTGCAAGACAATAAGAATGCTGTAACAGATGTTAAACAAATATAAATCGGAGCAAAAATAACTTAGATTATTCTTAGACTGATCGTAGTACAATTACAAATTACGTAACAGAAATTAAGGGAAGTTATCATTTGCTTTCACTCCGACAGTACATAATCACTATATCAGAGACAAGGAGCCACTGCAATTGAGATACAGGTCCAAGCTCTTACACTGAGTGTCTCATGGAGGTTCATAATGATAACTGCCATGACAGTAACAATGACAACACTGGTTAGGATGACAATGAGTGTGACTTAAACAGGCAGTGATAATGTATGGTTCTCACACTCGAGCGTCTCCGATTCGATTTCCCATCAAGGCTGTTGAAAAAATGTATCACTTTATTCTCCCCATGCCTCTGTTTATCCAGCAGTATAAATGGGTAATGATGATGATGACGATGATGAGGATCCGTTTGTGTGGATGCTAGGCTTTCGAGAGCACGCTAAAGCTGTGGGAGGACAAGCAGCATCGCGATGATTCTGCACGCCCAGGCTCCCAGCATGCCTTACAGGGGGGCAGCAGCGATTCCCAGCATGCCTTGCAAGGAGGCGGCAGCGGTGGACTGGTGCCCGAGGTGGTTGGGGGAGCAGAGGCAGAGCAAGTTCATCAGTTTGCAGAGACTGCACGATTACTCATGAAGGAGTGAGTATGTGCGCGCACGCGCGTGTGTACCCGTACGTTTATGCATTTGTATGTGTGTGTACAAATGCCTGGTGTGAGTAGTGGGGAGTGGTGATTTGATGGTTAGCGAATTGTGCTACCAACCTGGCAACCCGGGTTCGATTCCCAGCCACGGCTTCACGTTAGTGACGAATGGGATCTAAATTGGTCCTGGGCAATCCCATAGGTCGGCTCAGCCTTAAAATTACAACTTGGTGCAGCGGGTAAAAGCATCGACACCGAGAAGACAAAGGCGGCCGTGCGTGGTCCTGGCCACACCCACCCCCCCCCCCCCCCCATGTGCACCGTGTGTTCCGGCCTTCCGAGGTGCTTGCTTACACAGCACTTGCCCCGACAATCTGAGAGGCCTACACGGGAGAGAGAGGGGGGGGGGGGGGGGGGTACACCTTCGTCTTTTGCGCCCGTGTCTCTCAGGATCCGCACGGCGGCCGACTCTCACCACGCCCTGGAGCAGGAGCTGGCGCACGCCGTGAATGCCGCGTCGCACGCCCTCGCCAACCATCTACGCCAACACCGACTCCGAGGTGCCCTACCGTTCGGGGTCGGGGGGCGCGGGGTGCGTGTGGGGTGCTCGTCGACTCGGCAGTGGGAAACTCGCGATTTCAAATCCCGGTGTGGGGCGGTGAGGGGTGGAGGGTTTTGAAGGCATCCATTATTCGTCGCCTGACTCCCGTCTTCTTCATTCGTCGTGTTCGTTGCCATCATCATCATCATCATCTTCGTCATCATCTTTTTGTGTTTGTCACAATCATCTTCATCCTCGTCACAATCATCTTCATGTTCGTATCATCATCTTGTTTGTCACAGTTATCATCATGTTTGTCACAATCATCAATATCTTCATGTTTATCACAATCATTATCATGTTTGTTACAATCATCTTCATTTCTCTTTATCATCATCATCACTCCTCTGGTGCCAAGTAAAATGGGCAGCGTCACTTTATGGGGAGTCAATAGGTGTTGTTTGGGCTATACTGGCCCCTGCCATAGGAATGTGGAAGTTTCACCCCGGCTCAGAACCAAGTAGTGGAGATGAAGCTTGGAGACACGAGCACTGTGCCAGCGTCCGTCAGTGCTCGCTAAGCTGTTCCCAGGCAGCTCACTAACAACATGCTTCCCGACAGCCCATGCAAGCTATGTGGGGGGGGCGTGGAACGGGGAAATCTTTGTGTTTTTGTGCGTCGGTATATACATCTCTGCATATAAGTGCATGTGAATTTGTGTAGGTATGGATGAGTGTATATGTACGTTGATGTGATATAAATGTGTTGGAGTATGTATGTTGAACTTATTTCACGTAGCTAACCGTGATAATCGGAGGGGCGGGGGAAGTACCCGGTGTGATGTGTAAACATCGCCACTGGGGAGACAAAGGCGGCCGGGCGTGGCCGTTGGCTACCCCACCCCCTTCGTGTGCCGTGCTGGCCTTCATAGGTGCTACTCGCTAACAGCTCTTGCCCATAAGTCTTGTCGAGGCTATAATATGGATCTCTTTGTCTTGTGTGTCCCCATCCCATGGCACAGCCGCTGAGCCAGGCGGTGGTGCTCGACCTCGTCCACAAGGTGAAAGCGCTGCACAGCGAGACAGCCCAGCTCCTCTGTGGGAAACTGGTACGATCCACCGCCGACCTTCTCAATAGGTGCTCGCCGACCGTATGTGTTCAAGGAACCATCGTTGTTTTCGCCAACGTTATTACGTCTTCACTGTCATTGATTTTCACCTTCGCCCATATTTTGGTTTGTCGTCGTCTCCATCGTGATTGTCGTTGTCTTCGTTGCATATTCGTACGTGGGTAGTGACCAAATAATGGGATGAATCGAACCGGGGTTGATAAACGATAACCGGTAAATCTTTGACCGTTCTCAGAGATCGACTATCGATTTCGAAAGTCAGGAACCACTAATCGTTTCCTGCTGAACTTTACCGATGAATGCGCCGATTGGCACGCGCGAACACACAAACCGCACGGGTGGCAAGCCATCGGTACGAGAGCAAATGCGTACAAAATGAGTTGGCGAGCGTTGTACGTGTCGCATGCAAACAGAGACACTCGTGTGTATCCGTATGAAATGTGTGTATGAAATTTTAGCACCGTACGTAGCCAACTGTGCTAATGGGAGATGTCTGTGTGTGTGTGCTTGTCGTATCACTGTGCGTGCGTGTTGCATCGTCGTGGTGCGGTGTAGCTGCTGGACACGTCGCACGAGGAGCGTCTGGGCGCAGCGCTGGGCAGCGTCGAGCAGGAGTTGCATGGCCTGGGGGACATCGCGTGGCTCTCGGGGAGCGTACGGGCGTCGGACTCGGAGGTGAAGAGGCGCGCCACTCGCCCGCTCGTTTACCGATCCGATTACTCGCTCGCTTGCAAACTCTCACTCGCGTATACACTCATCCGCACGCCCAATCACTCGCCCACTCAAACATTCAATCACACACCAATTCACCTTCTTAAACGCTCATTCACTCACTCACCAATTTAATCACTCACATACTGTCTCTCTCTCACTCTCCTCGTGTCTCCCCCGTGTCTCCCCCGTGTATCTCCACATGCCTGTGGAGTGCAGGGCGCTCTGGTAGAGTTCTCCAAGAGGAGCCGAAGCTCAAAGTTCCGTCTCTTCCGGAGAGACAAGAACCACAAGCCGCGTGACAGCAGAGGGCTGGCTCCCTTCCCTGGTACGTGGGCCATGTACACCGCCTTGTGCTGTGCGCCCGCGCCCCCGTGTTCACCATCATCTTCGTCGTAACAGACGGCGGAGTAAAACAATAGCGAGAGCTTCCTGCTCAAAATAGCAAATCGTCTCTGTTCGCATCCCTGAGACAACGGTCGAAAATCCACATTCCCACATACACAACCCCTGTGTCGTGTCTGTAACTGCTGCTTCTATGTGTGTGTGACGGTGCAGGTGCATTTGTGTGTAATATTACTGCCGCACGTGCATTACAAACCCAGTTACCCGAGTTCGATTCCCACTCACGACCAATAACTGTGGATAAATGTTAACTGGTCCTAGGCCTCCCCTAGGTCTGTTCGGCCTTAAACGAGTACCTGATGCGGTGTGTAAACATCAGCACTGGGGAGACGAAGGCGAGCGGCCGTGGTGTTGGCAAACCCACACACCCCCTGATGTGCCGTGCCGGCCTTCAAAGGTGCTCACCAACAGCCCTTGCTCCAACGGTCTGTTAATGGCTATACAGGGGATCTTTGTATTTGTGTGTACCACCACCACCACCACTCTGTACGAAACACAATCACTGCCTATATAACTCTGCCAATGTGTGTTTGAGCATGCGGCGTCTAATGTTGCCGGCTGGCGCGCCCGCACTTGTCCCCGTGTCCCCGCAGTCCAGCAGTGGGGCGTGGAGGAGGTGGGCGCGTGGTTGGAGCTGCTCTCTCTGGGCGAGCACCGCGAGTCGTTCGCTCGGCACGACATCCACGGCACGGAGCTCCTCCAGCTCGAGAGGAGAGACCTGAAGGTGCGGCCGGCGAGAGAGACACGAGACACGCGATGCTCGTCACAGAGAGACAAACTACTGGATAGACAAGAGAGACGCACTACTCCGTACAGACACACTACTCGATAGACAGACGCACTACTCGATACACACTACTCTATATGTTACGCAGACACTACTTGTTACACAGAAACACCTTGGCTCGGTACCTTATGTGCTGCCCCCCTTTCCTCCTCCTCGCTGTGTTTACTCCATCAGGAGCTGGGCATCTCCAAAGTTGGCCACGTCAAGCGAATTCTCAACGGTATCAAAGAGCTCAACAAGGGACCCACAGGGGAGTTCTGAGAGCCAACTAGCATTCACCTCTCATCAAGTAGGTCCCGTGACAAAGGAGGTCCCACCACGGAGGTCCCACCACGGAGGTCCTACCACGGAGGTCCCACTACAGAGGTCCCACCACGGATGTCCCACCACGGAGGTCTCACCACGGAGGTCTCACCACGGAGGTGTCGTCCACGGAGGTGTCGTCACGGAGGTGTCGTCACGGAGGTGTCGTCACGGAGGTGTCGTCACGGAGGTGTCGTCACGGAGGTCTCGTCACGGAGGTCTCGTCACGGAGGTGTCGTCACGGAGGTGTCGTCACGGAGGTGTCGTCACGGAGGTCTCGTCACGGAGGTCTCGTCACGGAGGTCTCGTCACGGAGGTCTCGTCACGGAGGTCTCGTCACGGAGGTCTCGTCACGGAGGTCTCGTCACGGAGGTCTCGTCACGGAGGTCTCGTCACGGAGGTCTCGTCACGGAGGTCTCGTCACGGAGGTCTCGTCACGGTGTTATAACACCAGCTCATAGGGTCTACCACGGAAGCCCCACGACGGAGATCGCATCACTACGGAGGTGTAGGCCCCACCACAGAGGTGTAGGCCCCACCACAGAGGTGTAGGCCCCACCACAGAGGTTTAAAGCCCCAATGCAGAGGTTTAAAGCCCCAATACAGAGGTGTAGGCCCCACGACAGAGGTGTAGGCCCCACGACAGAGGTGTAGGCCCCACGACAGAGGTGTAGGCCCCACCACAGAGGTGTAGGCCCCACGACAGAGGTGTAGGCCCCACGACAGAGGTGTAGGCCCCACCACAGAGGTGTAGGCCCCACCACAGAGGTGTAGGCCCCACCACAGAGGTGTAGGCCCCACCACAGAGGTTTAAGCTGCACCACAGAGAAGTAGGCTGCACAACAGAGACCCCAGCACCGAGGATGTCTGTGTCTTGACCTCAGTCTCGTGTTGCGTGGGCTCCTGCGCAGCATCTGTCTGTCTATTCCACTACCAAAGGCCACGGCAGGACTGTGGACTTGACCAAAACACAGGGGGGCAAACGCCCCCCCCCCAACCCCCTATTGAAAGCAGCCAGACCGTCAGTGTGTGGGTGCGCGTGTGTGTGTAGACTTGCGCGAGTGTGAATGGGTAAAGTTCTCGGGGTGGAACAATTTTACTTTCCCCCCCCCCCCTCTTCCACAGGTGCTTCTATGAATTGTCAAGATTCGTCATCTCTATTTGAGTCAAGAATATAATGTTTTTTTGGATACTTTGTAAGGAATGGTCACACCTCTATTGGCGGCAGAGGCAATTTTAACCTATTACATACAACCTATACAAGTCAAAAAGCGTCGATCCGTACAGACGTGGTCCGATGCTTGTTTCCTAAACGCAAGATTCAATACGATGCGGTGGATTATTCCAGCCCGAGTGGATGGGTATATTGGGGTGTGGGTAGGCACGTGTATGGATATTGTGTGTGTGTGTGTGTGCGTATGCATGTGTGTATAGATTTACTTGTGTAGGTATGCATTTGTGTATGTGTCCAATGTGCGATGTGTGTGCATGTGTATCGGTGTAGGTCTGTGCGTGTTGCATGTGGAGATCAGTGACGCAGTGGTTGGCGCACGGCGCTACGAACCCGGAAACTCGAGTTAAATTCTCGTCTGCAGCTCACGTTAGTGGCAAGTGGTAATTGAACTCGTCTGAAGCCTGCCCTTGGTCAATTTAGCCTTAAATTAGTTCCTGTTGCAGGCTATAAACACAGAAAAACCCCCTTGTGTGCCATGCCAGCCTTAATAGATGCTCGCTAACAGCACCTTCCCCAAACAATCTGTAAGGTTTGTACGGGGAGATCTTCGTGTGTATGTGTGTGCGCACGTGTGTGTATCGTGTGTATTTAAGTTAATTATGCTCATTAATTTAAGTTCGTGTGTAATAATGCAAAACTAATCTGTGTAGTGTGCGTGTTGTGTGCGTGCGTGCGTGCCCTGTGATTGCACACTCATGCACTGTGCTGGCTGGTTTTTTACGAACCTTGGTTGACTTTTATACTGAAAAAAAAAATGAAAAGGAACAAAATGGTAAGGAGGAGGAGCGTGTGTTTTAACTGTTTTAGCTTCATCACGTTTGTGCCATGATTGACGCGACCAAAAAAAAAGAATCCCAACACTTAAAAAAAAGATGATTTGATTTTTAAGTTTTAACGTCGGGTTAAATTTTGAACCCTTTTTAAATTAAAATCGTCGAGGATATTTTCCAGACCTTTATATTTTGGTTGTACATGTCTTGCAAGGTTGGCGTTCTTAAATGTATTACTACTATTAATGTTATTGTAATTGGTGTTTTAAGCTAAATGAGGTTTATGATTGGAGTGAAACATCTGTATAGCGTGTGCTGAGTGTGTTGAAAAAGTAATCGTTTTAACGTGTGCAATATATCTTCTCCCACAAGTCAGAGGTGGGCGTTTAAATGTGGCTCGCCACCGAGCTCGCCGTCGCAGTTCAATCCCTCCTGCTGCTCAGAAGTTGTACACATCGCATCGCAACACGGCATTGGCCCCGATTGGGTTGCATTTGTAGCTGGAGCAATGGGTTGCGTTTGTGGCATCGACAACAACATCAGCAGTTGCGGAAGCATCGTCCTAAGCAGCCACATTCTAATCGCCGTCATGCGATAGTGGTTTGCTAGGGTCAAGTGGCATAGGTTATTGTTGACGAGTTTTTAGTATAGGGGCAGGGCTGGGGTCCGGCAGGCTTCTGTGATTTGAGCTCGTTAGATTCTGGTGGTCTCGAGTTGTTTGTTCTATGGCCGTCATATGGTTGGCTGGTGTGGTTGGGGCTATGCGTCGAGTGGTTGGCCTAGTGTGCTTTAGGGATGGATATTGCCCCACCCCTCCCCACCCATCCTTGTGTTTTACCTTTGCCAATCTGCAGTATACAACCTGTTGTTGTAGCTGGATCAGGGATTGAACTGTCGACTTTCTCGCAAGCTGGCTCAGTTGGCAAGCTCTGCCCAGCGGGCAGGACCCAAACCCCCACCCCATTGGCCGCGCCAAACGAATCGATTTGAATCATTCGTCCGTTCAAGAGCTCCAGAGTGCGGGCATTGCTTTTGTGCGGGTGTTTATTCACCGTTTTTAACCGTCGTCGGTGTTGTATCAACGGTTTCGTATTTCAGTCCACGTGCTAAAGGCTGATTTTTTTTCCAAAGCGGCCGGGACACTTTGATGTAAAGTGTCTTTTTTTTCCTGGCTCTAATTTGCCAGTTCCGTGCACGCGTGTACAAAAGGTGAGCAAATGGGGCAGTATTTCTTGCACTGTGCTACCAGGCCAGCCACCTGGATTCCATTCCCGTCCACGCCAGTGGCGAGTTGAATCTGAACCCGTCCAGAGCCACATTTCTAGGTTGGCTCGGCCTGAATTGAGTGCAGGGTGCAAACAATCAGTACCGGGGAGATGAAGGCAAGCAGGAGTGGCGTTCCCACACCGCCGGCCTTCGTAGGCGCTCGCTAATGGCGCGTGTGCGTACAAGCTTTGAGTCTAAACGTGGGGTATTTATATTGGTGGGTAGGTATGAATATTTGGTGTTTTTTGATGTCACTGTGTCAATGGCCAGGTCTTTGAAAATTGACTGTGGTCCATAGAAGCCTTCTCTTCAGAATGGTGTCACAGGGTTACTTACATTCCACTGTGTGTCTGATGACACATTTACATTGACAAGGCCTTACTACCCCCACCCAGTTTGTAACTTACCAGGGATCAAACTCCTAAAGACTGACTAAGTAGCTAGTCAGTTCCCCATTGTAATTGTTTGGTAAAATGCAGGAGGGCTGATGGAAAAGTCTGTGGCTTGATATTGAAGGGGAACGGTGCTTACAATAAAGGGCGAATGTTTATATTGTTTATCAAGGACTACAAACGCTCAGTGCTAAATTAACTGCCCTCTTATGTTCATTGGAAATTTGAGAACTCTGAAAGACAAAAAAAATCTCAAACTACAAAAACAATCGGGTAGAATCGAGATAAATCTGAAGAATTCCCACATCCAACTGAAGTGGCTCCCAGTGCCTCCCCAACTAGAGAATCGCTTGTTGGGAAAGTGCACCCTACTCGTTACGGAGGAGCGCTGTGAGTATTGAGCTCCAAGGGTCCTGGAGGAGCGAGCCATAAAGTTATTCTGGGCGGTGGTTAAATTAAAGCCTTGGTAAATTGATGAACCGAATGCTTCGGACTTGAAGGAGAGGAACCGTGTCGAGAAATAATAGAGCTCTCATCAGGGCCACTTGTTGCTCACTGGATCAATACATGGAACTTTCCATCAGCTGCTATCCTGAAACTACGTACGTGGAGGTCCGGTCACTGGCTCACTCGGAGGCGTTCACATTCAGCGAAGAACTCCCCAAATCGCTGAGCTTCGAGATGACCAGGAGATGGCAAGAGATTAATCGTGTTTCTGACCGATCTGTGTTGTGGACTTGAGAAAACTATCCCCTCCCCTTTCCCAGGTATGCGTGGCGTTTGCTCCGGGTACATGATGGTGACGTGGTTGTTTTTTTGTCAGCTGGCCTGTACAAATTATATGGCTTTTGTTGTGTGTGTTCCACCAAGTCTCTGTGGAGCGCTCATGCCAAAAAAAACCCATTGTGTAAATACGAGGACCACTCAAAAAAATGTCTGACTGCACAGACAAGGGACCTGTGGCCTACATTTGTGGTCGTGTTGTGGCGCCAGTCATTCCTTGCAGGCGGATTCGCCCACATAGTCGATTGAAGTCGTGACGCTGACGTTGGGCTGCAGAGGTGTTGACCGAGGTGTTAAACATAATCCGCTCTTATCGTCCACACCAAGAATTCACATCCATGGTAGCGCAGGCCTAACGGTTCCATGTCCGCTCCATGTCCGCTCCGTAGCTTAGACCCACAACTCAAAAACTCAACCTGTGCTGTTTATTCTGTAGGGATAACATGAATAATTATATTCATGTAAACATTCATGCCAACGTTTGTTTTATTTTTTTAAACATACAATGATAACTGGTATTGGCTAAACATCCCAATGCCGCAAAAGTACCACGGTAATTGCTCAATTTGGAATGCACACGGCAGAAGCAGCAACATCGCCCCACTCCTGCAAAAATTTTGCAGGGTCCTCTTAATGATGAGTCTTGAGATCTTTCCTGGGTAAACAAGTGTAATAATAGTAATAATAAAAATGCATTTCCCAATAACGTCATATCTACTCTGCAGCCCAGACCCAGAACTCCACACCCATCCTATAGATCTCTCATCTAGAACTTACTCAGGTTTATTTTGTTTAGTGTCTCTTAATATTTTTTTTCTTTTATGGCATTGCATAGCAAGGATGTATACAATTTTATTTGATTTATGAAAAAATAAATATGATGAGTGGGCGAAGACCTCGGGGGCCAGCCCCCCAGGACACTTTGGCGGGACTGTCGCTCGGCTGACGTCGGAACGCCTGGGAATTCCCCCAGGAAGAGCTAGAGCCTGTCGCCAGGGAAAGGGAGGTCTGGACCGCCCTACTCAACACGTTGTCACCGCGACCCTCACCAGGACCAGCGGATTGAGAAATGAACGAACGAGTTTGCTGGATGAATTTCATAATCGTTGTGTCGGAGACAGTGAGCCAGCGCTGCTGAGATGCTGGAATAATTTCTGGGTTTCAGCCACTCGTGTGATGTAACCCGGCCTCTTGAGTTGATAGACTTGATGGTCTCGGCCCATCCGGCAGTGACTGCACAAATCGAACCGTCACATTGACTTTGGTCTGTTCCTCGGCGTTCCTTGGCCGAGCTATTCGGCAGATGGGCTCCTCCGAACACAACTGCAGAGAACGATCATAGTGGTGGCAGAGAGTTAAATCATATCGAGGAACGGCCGCAGAATGGCACCACAGATACAATACAATGTGGAATCGTATAGTTTGTCAATTTATGCCATTTAATCACCCGGTTAGATATAGGATAAATAAAATATAGCGTCTAAAGTGACCCATTTTCAAGACGCTTTTCAGAAATTAGGCCGTATTTATTTTGTATATGAGTAGAGGCAGCCACTCGCATAGGCAGAGGAGAAAGCCTTGAACCTGGATTTGGAACCAGGGCAGGACATCAACAGCATGGTTGGCTGTGGGAATGGAGTTCCAGATTGGAGGTAGCGGAAGAGATCCGCCCCAGAAACCACTTCTGTAGGAGTCACATGTTCAACAGGCCCACCGCGTGTGTTAGTCGTCCCCATAGCTTTATTATCATTAAAAAAACGTTAGCCCTCGGAGCAATAGTAGGCATGCCACATTCAATTTGACGCTTTGGTGTTTTTTGTGCAGTCGGCTCACTACGCTTGAGCATCCGGTTGAATGTATCGGTGGCGGCAATCCAGAGTCAATAGCCAGAATCTGCATTGTAGGCGCTGCCCTCGTGAAGACTCCCACTCATCTAGCGGGTCTTCGGGCAGGGGTCTCGAGGCACTGATGTAAAATAGCCCTTGGCATCAGACGGAAACGTCTTGCGTTTTGTATTTGGGTTTAAACAATTGAGTCGTGCAGCTAATTGTTTGGGTTGGGCGTGTGTCTGCACATTACTGTTGGTATTTCTGTGTATGTGACTTTGTTATTGTGTGCGTGTCGCATGTGTACGAGTGCATGTGTTCGTGTCCGTGCGTGGATGTTCGAGTATCTTTACGCATCAACGCACAAGTGTCTGTGTTGCATCGTTCGCCTGTCTGTGTTATGTGTCCCATGGGTACGTGTGTCTCATCCGTATGTCTGTCTGTACATAATCATGTATGTGTATGTTAAATGTATGTCTGTGAATGTGTTTAAAATACCTGCCTGGGTATTTTGTACCATCAGACACTCCACCCCCACAGCTCACAATTGATGATGGGGCAGTTGTGGAGAGAGTGCAGTGTTTCCCACACCTGGGCAGTGTGATAATGACCAGCTCTCCGAATCAGTTGAGCGGCATTATCTTTTCATCGGTTGCGTAACGCTGTGTGGAAGCTATCTGTTCTGTCGCTCCACACGAAACTTCAGGTTTTCTCGGCCACGGTCATTCCCTCCCTTCTCTACGCTTGCGAAACGTGGACCCCCCTTAATGGAACATCTTCGCTGGTTAGAAACATTTTGGCTGGCCTGTCTACGATCCATCCTGGCTTTAACCAGGCTGGATAGTGTGAGGAGCTCACAAATCCTTGAAAGATCTGGATATAGTCCCATCGGTTAGATCCTCTGGCAGGCAAGACTGCGTTGGCTGGGCTATGTAGCCCGCATGCCCACCCACCGCATGCCTAAACAGCTGTTGTTCAGCCGGATAGAAGGGGCTAAAAACAGGCGCGGCACGGGCTAGAAAAGAGATGGAGTGATGTGGTACAAGAGGACGTGGAGCTGAGTGGACTTGCCGATGACTGGTACTAGCGGTGTCAAGATCGGCCTCTGTGGAGGAGGCTCGTGAAGGACGCTACTGGGCAGTTGGAGGCAGTCACCCTCCAACAACAATGGAGGGCGGAGGAGCGACGCTCACAACAACGAGCGGAGCGCCGGGTGGCTAAAGCACAGCAAGTTGGCACAGTAGGGGGCACAGGTGGTGCATCGGCCAGTCATCTCAATTGACCCATGGCTCCTGGGTCTGCCCCGTGACCTGTCAGCGGGCGTTCGACACTTCACGTGGCCTTAACGTGCACTTAGCCTGGCACAAGCGCTGTGGTGACGTCACTGTCACTTAGTGGCGAATGACGGTTATGTTTAAAGATACGTCAAATTAGGTAGATCACACAATTAGACACCAGTCATTCAAATACATTTGTTCTGAGGCCCTTTAAAAGCTACTTAAAAATCACTTTAAACGATTCAATGAAACAAAAATGTTAGTTTTTTTTACTGGCTTCAGCAAATTTTTCGATGACTGATGGTTAAAAAAAAATGTTTATCTACCCCAAGTGCTCTTTCACCTACTTTATAAAGTTGGGTCAAAGTTTGGTCAAAGAGCATCAAGTTGGGCCAGTGAAGTCACGAGCTCTGATTGGCCTCGTCGCATCGTCTGATGACTGGACCGTACACCTGATAGGTGATACTCGCGACTCGCTTCCCCGTCGGTGCCCACTGGGCTGGGAGGTTGCAGAGTCCCGATGAAGACTGCGCGCACGCTGCGCTGTTTACCCACAGCGCCTGCTGCGCTGTTTACCCACAGCGCCTGCTGCGATGTTTACCCACAGCGCCTGCTGCGATGTTTACCCACAGCGCCTGCACTCGAAGCACGTTCGGAGAAGCCTTAAAAAGTAATTTTACGGACATTCCACTGGAATCTGTTCAGAGATTATGACAATGTATTACCGGTTCAACGATTACCGTTTAACAAACCCACATTTTTACATCAGCCGCCGTTCACTCAGTGGGGGTGACGTCACCGTGACGCTTGTGCCAGGCTAGGGCCACTTATTTATTTTACAATACACACCTATGCACATACCCCATAATACAAACACACAACGTAATATGCACTATGTACAGCATAATGCATTACGATACACAAACTAATAATCAAATCCAGCACTGTTCAAACACACCATTGGCGATAATTCTATTGACCTGTGTCAAAGTAAAGGTCAAACCAACGCAGCTCATTGGTTCATCCATCCTAGACTCCGCCCTCCCCCTGCCCCTAGTGTCAGTTGCCACCTGCCCAGGTTTGACCCGCACTTCTGGAATTGGCACTTTTGTGTTCGGGTGGCAACCGGAGTAGATTTGTCCCGGGACCTGGTGGCACTGTGTCGAACTCGATTGCAAGTAGACCTTTGCTCTGTCCAGCTGGAGCACATTGGGACCCCCCCCCATTGCCTTTAACATCCGGATGGATATAATAAAGGTTTTTTTGTTTGGTTAGATCGCATAAATGTGTCGTTAAACCTGCAACCACCCGACACAACCCAATTAGTAAGGTTGGTCACGTAAACAAAAACATGCCAATTACTGCTTCAGCACACCGGTGTGTTGGAGAGTAAACTCACGAAAATGTATTAATTAAACAAAAACCCTTGAATACGGATATTATTAGTCGCCAAAGCCTGCGTGTGAAACCCCACCGGTTGACTCCGTGGTAGAGCAAGCGGCTTGCAGTCAAAATGTCGCGAGGTCAAATCCTAAGAGAGGAGGTTGAGCCAGCTCCATGATCCGTCTGGAGTCGTTGGGGGGGTATTCCCAAGTACCACTTTTGTGGGCGAGTCAACGGTGATGGATAGACTTGACCTGGTATAGGAATGTGGACTTTCCACCAATTGGCCGAGGATTTTATAAACGGGCGAACCATGAGCACGAATCCCCTCCTCGAGGCTCGTTTGAGCAGGGACATTTCCACGTTGACTTGCCCTTCGAATGGCAGCGTTAAGGCACCGTGTGGGATCCCAAGGTTCTCCAAATGAATTCCACTCTGGCCGTGTGAGCCCCCTCGCCCCAGTGAAACGCCTTGGGAGTGGAGAGGGAGAAGACCTTTCGCTGTTGGGAGGCGTCGATTTGTGCTCGTGTTTTGCAGTTTTCTGTCGTGAACTACTAAGAGCCACGCGTGAACCTATGATCACCCACACGTGTGTTGTATGCACTTCGCATACGTGCACCTAATGCATGTTGTGTACGTCAGCGAATGTATATTTGTGTTGATGCTTAAATGTACATGCGTGTAACGGATGCGTGTGTGCGTGTGTATATGCGTTTATGTACGTTGTGTATGTGGGGAGCGGTAGTGTAGCGCTTAGCTGCGCTACCAACCAGGCTACCCGAGTTCGAGTACCGTCAATCCACTGACGATTCCTCTGAACCGGTCCTGGGGCTCCCCTAGGTCGACTCAGCCTCAAATTCGTACCTGGTGCGGTGTGTAGAAAAAAACATCGCCGCTGGGGAGACAAAGGCGGCTGGGCGTCGTTTTGGCCACCCACAACCCCCCTCGTCATTGTTTTTTTGCTAACAACACTTGCATCAACAGGCTGTTTCGGCTACACGGGGGGGGGGGGTCTTTGTGTATGAATACGTGCACTCTGTGTGTGTCTATACATATCTGTAAGTGCGTGTACGTGTCGTACGCATTCCCAGCCTAACCCCCGTTGCCTTGCCAAGGCGAAGAAGGGCACTGTCCTTATTTATTTGTTGGAACATTGTGGAAGAGAAAGCAAAAAGTAACCGTTTTTGCTTCGTTCGGAGTTTTCCCCGTCTATTTATGAACAGCCTCCGTGTCGAATGTTAGTGCCCCCCACCCCCGCAACAAAACATTCCCTGTGCCCCCCCCCCCAATGCAAACAGGACGTGTTGCATGAGTGTGCGTGACTGAGCTCTTTTTTGTACATAACGCATTTTGAAAAAGAAGAAAAAGTGTCGAGAAGGCATTTCGAAATACCTCATTGAAAGTGAACGTTGTCTGCACACACACACAATACAGAATATCCACTCTTCCAGTGACTTGTGATGATTCATTATTTGTGTAGTAGTCGTCGTGTTGTTATCGTTACCCGGAGGAAAGCACACCCCAAAAATAAGATGCGTGTTACATTTTTTTGTAATAAAATGCTTTTTTAAAAAAAGATTGATTTCATTGCCCCAAAAAAAAATCTACGCAGGTCGACGCATTTGCATTGGTAAGCCGCGTGCGTTACTGTTCATAGCGATTGATGTATGTTGTATTTTACTTCCGACAACACGTGAAGTGTCTTTCCTCACAGCGTAGTGCGCTAACCCCTGCGCCACCGCTCCCTGCCATCACCGTTGACATTTCCCCCACAACTGCGGTTGTTGGCGAGGCTGGGGGCGAAAGGAGGGGGCGGAGGGGGAACGGGGCGATGCATCTATAAAGATACAGATGCCCCGGGTAGCCTTCAAGACTGTTGAGGCAAGTGCAGCTATTGAGCACCAATGAAGGCCGGCACGGCACACGAGGGGGTGGGTGGCCAGCACCACGCCCGGCCGCCTTTGTCTCCACATTGGCGGTGTTTACGCATTCCAGCAGTCACTCATTTGAGGCTGAGTCGACTTAGGGGAAGCGCAGGACCAGTTAACGTCATCGTCACTGGTGTTGGTGGCCGTGAGCGGGATTAGAACTCGGGTGGCCGGGTTCCTAGCGCAGCGCGCAAACGCTTCAACATCGCTCCCCACGAACAAAAGGCAAAGATCCCCCGTGTGGCCTGAACAGACTTGGGACAAGTGCATCCATAAACACGCACGCAACACGCCACTTTGCCAGCTTCCACCCCACTCCCCACCCACCCACTCGGCCATGAACACGGAGTCCGAACACCGCACAGAGAGATCGCAGCCATGCGGCCCCTACACGCCTGCCTCGTCTGTGTCATCACCGCCCTCCTCCCACACACCTGTTGCCCAGGTGAGGTGCGTGCGTGTCTGTGGGTATGTCCGTCTGTCTGCGTGAGGAATTCACAGATTCTTGAAAAAATGTGGACAGTCCCATCAGTGAGCTCCGACATGCTAGGCTGCCCAACCACCGAATGCCCAAACAGCTGCTGCTGTTTGACCGGATTAAGGGGGCTGAACGTGCGCGACACGGGCTAGAGAAGAGATGGAGCTGATGTGGTACAGAAGGATGTGGAGCTGAGTGGACTTGCCGATGACTGGTGCCAGCGGTGTCAAGATCGGACTCTGTGGAGGAGGCTCGTGAAGGACGCTGCTACTGGGCAGTTGGAGGCAGTCGCCCTTCAGCAACAACGGAGGGCAGAGGAGCGACGCTCACAACAACGAGCGGAGCGTCAGGTGGCTAAAACGCTGAAAATTGGCAAAGTGAGGAGCACAGTTGATGCATCTGCCAGCCATCTCAGTCCGTCAACCCATGGCTCTTGGGTTTGTTCCGTGACCTGCCAGCGGGTCTTCCACACTTCACGTGGCCTCAAAGTGCACCTAGCCTGGCACAAGCGCCGTGGTGACGTCACCTAGCGCTGAACGGCGGTTGTATATGAATTTGCGAGTGGTGAGCGCGCTGCGCTACGAACCCAGCTACCGGAGTTCGATTCCTGCTGACGACCAACACCAGTAATGATTGTTTGAACCGGTCCTGTGCTGGCCTTAATAGGTGCTCGCTAACACCACTTGCTCCAACAGTCTATTACGAGCTTGCACATATGTCTGTGTGTCCCTGAGTGTGTCTATACACCTGTGTTGGTGTGTCTGTGGGTATGTCCGTTCAGTCTGTACATGTCTGTATGCGAGTGTCTCTTGTGAGCATATCTGTACTTGTGCGTGTGTCTGTCTGCGTCTGTGCCTTCCCTTCTGTTGCCGTGTCGATCATGAGCGGAGTATGACCATACTTCACCACGCTGGCAGCGGCTTCTGGCTGGCCATCGAACAAAGACGGTCACCGCATCGCTCGCTCTTTTCAGATGCACTTCTGCGGCCGTCTGGAACGCTCTTTCGATATTAGGAAGTCACTTGCAGCTATGCACTTTTCAATCCAGATTGAAAACTTAACTTCTTGAGAACTACATTTTGTGTTCAGTTTGTTGTCCTTCCCCCCCCACCACCCCCCGTACCTCCAATTAGCACGGTTGGCTACGTAAGATACGGAAGAAGTTTAAAGTACATACGCTGGATCCGGCGTGGACAAAGGCTATCACCAAGCAGTGGATTGACAAACGGCTTGTTTAAAGTGTTTACGTGCGAGGAGCGGTGGTGCAGCGGTTCGCCAACTGCGCGACGAACCCAGCTGTTTTTTAGTTCGATTTCTCGCTCACGGCCAACATCGGTTGCTTCTTTACGACTGTCGTTTCATTTTGTCAGCCTGATCCACGTGGTGTATCGCTGGTAACAATGCGCAGACTGAACTCTCTTCTTCAGACACATCGATTGGTCTGCTAATTTTCAGAATCAAATCCACGCTTTTAAAAACAAGCGCCACGTGCAGTGCCCCGTTCGCCCAAATTGATACTGGTCGCCATGGAAAAAAAAAAGCTTTATCTCATTGGATTCTACCAGTATAACAAAATTTCTGATTCGTGAACATCTGCCCAAGGTGTTCAAAGACCCCCCCCCCCCCCGTATAGCCTTTAACAGACAGTTGGGGCAAGTGCTGTTCGCGAGTAGCACTCGTGAAGGCCGGGGGGTGGGTGGCCAGCACCACGCGAACTCACACTCGGCTTTGTTTCACATTGGTATCTCTCCAGCACTCTTCTCTACTTTGCTCCGTACATTTGGACGTGACTTTCGTTTTGCTAATATTTATTTTGAGGCCAACTCTGCGGCCTTTGTTTTGTTAAGCTATTCAATAATTTACTTTAAAAAAACACTTTCATCTATTGCTATGTCATTAACAGACTGAGATTGAGATTGGCAAATACTTGTGATTTTTGCGCATGCGTCTATTTTGCCCATGACATTAATTACAACAATTACAGCCTTTTTAAAGAAAACATTGCATCAAACTGTCTTCGCCATCACCCGCATTTGAATGCATGTCCCGTCTGACATGGGTGGATTAGGGCTCAGCACTTGACTGGCACCATTAAGGGATCCTGGGTGCAAAACTGGGCTCCATCCCCGCTCGTGGTAAAGTCGGGTTCTCAAGTGTAGCGACTTCGTGATCTCAACCTGATCACCAATGAAATGGGCGCTGTGCTGGCGAGATGTTAACTACCTCGCCTGGTATTCAGGAGGTTGTGGGTTCGATCCTGACCCCAACGTCTGTATATTTGCATGTTCTCCCCATGGTCGCGTGGATTTTTCTCCGGGTCCTGCGGTTTTTCCCCCCGCGTTTAGCATCAACGTGCGTTTAGAGTGTTTGGCTGCGATAAATTTCCACATGATGAGCCACTTCGTTGGGCCATCATTTGTGGCCAGCTCGCTTCTGAAAAATAGCTCAGTGGGCCTTACCTCGTCAAATGCCAAGTTTACAGTTGAGTTTAGACTTACATAGAGAACCACGGACTCACAGAGACCCATAGACTTGCGTAGACTGGGTTGGGATTAGACCGGGTTGTCAAGGGCAGACAGTTGATGGTCTCAACCTGGTCACGAATGACCGCACATCCAAAAAACCCCATCGCGTTGAATTTTGCTTCATGATTTATTCTGGCAGACGGATAACATGTTTCATAACATGTTCCATAACATGTTGGATTCATTGCCACGAGACGACCCTTTGCCAGGGAGGGGGGGGCACATAAACACGTGATCGGAATGTGGATAACGTTCTCATTGAAGTGACTCCAAAAGTAGTTCTGTGGTGTTGTCCTCCTGGCCTGTTTCCTGACACAAAGTGATGTGGAAACGAAGTCGATATCAACACAATATTCGCATCAATTGCAGGTGGCAATGCTAAAAACGACATTATTTTCACGTGTTCCCCGTTATTCCAAAGGTGCTGGTTGGCTTCATGCCACGAGCCATATATTCTTCATCAGAAAATGTCAAAAGCGGCCAGTGCATAACCCCGTGTTAGAGAATGGCACACAGGATGTGATATCACTGAACTAATTCTGAGATGCTTTCAAGTGACCTCTGACCTACACTTTCTACGATGCACTTTCCCACGCACCCTTTTATAGAAGACGCTGCTCCTTGCATGGCAATCAACCAGATTGTTTTTTGTCTGATCTTTAAAAAAAATGCTAAAGTGGAAAAAACATTTTTTTTCAATTCATTATTCTTTCTGTTGCCATCGTTGGTGACCAGACAACAGCCAGCCCCGTTAGCCTGAACCACGTGTCACCTATACCCAGGATTCCATTGCTATGACCCCTAAACCACGGAGCTATGCACTTTTAAATCTAGATTGAAAACTCATTTCTTTAGAACTGCTTTTTGTGCTTAACTTTGTTGTCCTTCCCCGCACCTCGACGGTTGGCTACGTACGGTGCGAAAGAAGTTCAACACACATACACACAGACACGTGCAGCCGGCTCCCACGAAACACCCCTCGTTAATCCATTGTCGCCGTCGCCCTGGTCATGACAAATCGTAGGTGCTGCGGAGGTGGTTTTGAATCGGCGAGAGGCAACCAGTTTCTTGAGTGCCAAGACGTCGGCTCGACCATCAGCTTGGCATCAGCAGGGGCAGCAGCAGCAGCAGCAGCCTCACCGGTACCGGCGTGCCAAACCGGTGAGAGAGATCCTGGAGGAGATCAGGCCTGGCTCCCTGGAGCGCGAGTGTGTCGAGGAGACGTGCACCATGGAGGAAGTGCACGAGATCACGGGCGATACACGCAAGACGGTGAGAACGCGCGGCTGTGGGTGGGCGAGAGGGGCTACTTTGGGAGGGTTTCAAAATGGGAACTTCTTCATCATCATCCATGCAGCAGCAGCAGCAGCAGCGGATTTTGGCTGACCATCGAACAAAGACGGCCACCGCATCGTGCGCTTTCGGGTGCGCTTCTGTGGCCGTCTGGAACGCTCTTCCTTCCAGTGTTATGAAGCCACTGGAGCTATGCACCTTTAAATCGCCTAGATTGAAACCCCATTTCTTTATAACTGCTTTTTTGTGTGTTTAGTTGGTTGTCCTTCCCGCACACCTCCGATTAGCATGGTTAGCTATGTACGGTGCGAAAGAAGTTCAGCAGATATACCTACATCAATACGGTTATACGGTTTGCATATTTGTTGTTTTTTTAAAGTTCAAGCTAATGTTAAGTGATACCAACAGTTTAATCCTGGATCAAATTTGGTAGGGAAAGTATTGTAGATGTAGTAATTATTAAGAGAAGGTTGTGATGAGTGGGACGCATGCCAAGGGGTTAGCAACTTGTAGGAAAGCGTTGTAGATGTCATCCGAAAGACGAGCACGCTGCAGGCAAACAAACGTACAGCTGCAAATGCAGGAAGGTGTTTTCCCAATGTTCGGTTTTAATCTCGCTCGCCCCCCCCCCCCCCCAATGCTGGCTGGGATGCGAGGTGGGTGGCTCGCTAGGAGCACCGCGTGTGTTTGCACACAGAGGAGCACGGGGTTTTAGTTATCTGTAGCAAACATGGTGCACGTCCTTGTGTGTACAGTGCGTGTTTATGCACGTGTACACGTGTGTGTGTGTGTGATTGCGTGTACACACTTGTAGTTGGGAGCGGTGGCGCAGCGGTTAGCGTGACGCTGCGCTACGAACTCGGCAACCCGAGTTCGATTCCCCGCTCAATGGCCAACACCGGTGACGGATTATATGAACCGGTTCTGGGCCTCCCTTAGGTTGACTCAGCCTTAAATGAGTGCCTGGTACGGTGTGTAGTAAACATCGGCACTGGGGAGACAAAGGCGACCGGGCGTGGTGCTGGCCACCCACCCCCTCGTGTGCCGTGCCGGCCTTCATAGGTGCCGCTCGCTAACAGCGCTTTGACCCAAAGGCTCTACGGGGGATCGTTGTCTTGTCCGAGTGCGTGCGTGCACACAGCAGTATGGAGGTTTGTGTTGACATGCCTGTGCCATTGTGCACGCCTGCGTGCGAGTACGCGCCAGTGCAAGGGACGGCGGTGCCGTTGGTTGGCGCATTGCGCTGCAGGCCAAGCGAGCTGTCCCCAAGTTTGATTCCCGACCATGGCGATCATCAAGTGGCGAGATATATTTCCGTAGACATGAGACGAGCTATAATTGGAAGCTTTCGTGACTGCAGGAATTACTCTTTGGTTATTTCGGTAAAGTCACGTGTAGAAAGAAAAGAAAAATAGAGTACGACGTTTCGATTGCAACACAAACAACCGTCATCAGGTAGAACTAAATTTGAGAGAGACAACACTGATAGAGACGGTTCATGGGATCCTAGTCACAGCAACGACTCCCTTAAATCGGTGGAAAGGAGAGGCGTCGCACTACAACTGACCTGTCATTCAAGGGGTACACAAGCAAAATGTACTCAACTCGACACAATCGTCAAGAACATTGTGGGTTGAAGAGGCAAATATATAATAGGTGACGTTTCGGGCAATGGCCCTTCTTCAAAAATGTATGTTTTTAAAGTCAGACCCAGAGGCCGAAAATGCCAAGCGGCCATCAACAAACAGCACGATTGAAGGGGTGTAACAGATGAGTGAGTACATGCTCTTGAGTTGAGCAAGATTGTAAGACATTGGGACAAATCGAGCAGTGTGAGGAGGAGAGCAGGAGTAGGACTCGCTGGCACGCTCCGCGACTGGACATCGGTGAAAAAAAAGAGCTTCATAGCTCATCGGATTCGTCCACGGTGAATTATTCTGATTCTGAGAAGTAAAAGTCGTAGGGTGGGTGGTTGAAGAGCCGGGCAGACGCGAGGTCCCGCACCTCCGATCAGCACCGTAGGCCACGTACGGTGCGAACGAAGTTCAACGTACGTACGTACGCGTGTGGACAAACCGACGAGCCAAGTTGGTGGGAACGGTGACATTGGGGTAGTGGGCGTCCCCTGACAGCAGATGTCCTCAGATGGTTGCGCACCTGCGAGAAATAATTATAAACGGTAGGGCATGGAATGGCCTTGCCATTCTGGCAAAGTGCCCGATGATGCTGTGTGTAATTACCAGCGAAACGTCGTACTACTTAAAACATTGTAAATGTTGTGGATTCACTCTTCAACACACCCGTGTGGGGCTAAAGTAGTTAACTATTTTGTCTTTTGTCAAGGTGACACTTTTTTTTGCCGATTGGCCATGTCGGGTGGTGGAGGGTTACGACACATTTATAAATAACGCGATCTAACCCAAAAACATTTATTATGAATAATATTGGTCGCGAAAGCCTGCTTCGTGTTCAATAGCCAAACAGATACGATTTGGCTGGGTCATTGTGGCCCAATCTCAAACATCTATTATGGATTTGTAATATCAGCTTCGGTAACCCACATGCTACATTAGCAACACATTTTGCTGTACTGCCTCTTACAGGCACACCTTTCATTCCCTGTTGTTTACAATCTACACATTTGTTTTCTCAATATGCTCTGATTCATCACGTTCCTAATCATATGTCTGTTTACTTTCAGATTGAATTTTGGAACAAATATGGTGAGTTATGGTGTTGGTAAAACAAATGTGTGCTATGGGTTCGTAGCTGAAGGAGGTCATAATGGCCGTGTCAGAGCCCTTACTGCCGAGGTCCTGCTTTTGAATCTGTCACATCCTCCCGCGATTAAACTGAGCCACAAGGTGTCGAGTGTTGACGGTCTCATCCAGGTCACCAACGACCGCACAACAAAGCCGAAGCGTCACATTTTCTATTTCTCGCATCGGCTAAATTCCCCCTCCTAGAGGCCTATTGACGGAAATTCATCAGAAGTAGTTCTGTGACGTCATCTCCTGTGGCCATTCTCCGACACGAGCGCTGCGATGCTGCTTGTTGTCAACGTCGTTCCACGTAAAACTCGCAGAAGCGCTCGGCAGTGAAAATGCCACATTCCCATGGCGGAGATGCATCTCCACAACGATAACCCCCTGGTGACCTCGCACAAATTTCCGTCACATTTTCTTCCCCAGAGGAATGACAGGCCGAGTCAATCCCCAATCCCCAAGCAGGAGTTGAGCTCCCCAAACCTTCTGTTTGTGAGCCACTCGCTCTACCGCTGCCGAGTCACCTGGCAGGACATTCAATTATTATTGTTGTCGTATTGTAATAGGTCGAAACTTTTAGCTCGTATGAAGCACTCTGACGACGACAACACTGGGGGGGCGGGTGGCAGATAAGAAGTCATAAATCCAGACGGCATTGACAACACCGTAACCGATATCCAAGTGAGATGTTGTTGACTGTGGCAAGAAGACCCAAAGCCAGATGGTGAGATGGTAAGAGTGGTCCTTGGGGAATGGGTCAACTATAACAGCAGATGACCCTCGGAGGTTGGTTGGCAGCTCTCCAACAGCAGTGGGCTCTCGCAACAGGAAGCAGGAAGGAAGCAACGACGAGTTTGTGGTGGCGGTGGCTTTAACGACATTGGTCGTAGTGATGACTTCGAGGTCTTCACTTTGACCTCGATCGTCCCATTATCTCCCACAGACGGAGATCAGTGCGCATCGAGCCCCTGTCAGAACAATGCCACCTGCCACGATCGGAAGGGCCGATACATCTGCACGTGCGACGAAGGATGGGAGGGCATCAACTGTGAGCTGGGTGAGAATTCGTCTCCACTGGGAGGAACACAAAAAATTAACGAACGTTCCGATTTGGCCGAGACAGTCCCAGTGGTTTCAGAAAGCCTGTTCCGGTGAGCTGCCCGGAAGCTTTTCTCCTCTGGCCTCAAGGCAGAGTGTGGTGGTGGTGATTCGACTGTAAAAGAAGACCTGCGGGGGTTGGTTATAGACTGTGTAACAGCTGACAGAAATGGCAGGAAGGAAGCGACGGTGAGGTTTGGTGCATTCATGGCCCTGATGACCTTTCAGTAGAGGTGGACCAAGACATTTTAAGGATAGGTGGGGGGGCGGGGGGGGGTGGGCAGCGACATGGTGATCCCGGAAGCTTTTAAAATAGGGCCTTAGTTAAAACAAATACTTTTTTCTGATGGACATCAATAAAATACAACTTTTCTCGATCTCAAGGTGGCGACCATCAGCCCCATCGCTCACCATCTTGGCTCATCCACCGCCTCTCGGAATCTCGAGTTTCGACCTTGCCTGTGACCTCCTGACCCCTGGGCCTTCACCGTCCGCAGGCAAACGCACGTGCGCCGAGGACAACGGGGGTTGCGACCACTTCTGTCTCCCCGCGGACGACAAGGGCAGCCGCAAGTGCGAGTGCGCCGCCGGCTACACGCTGGCGCCCGACGGCATGGCCTGCAACCAGTCCGGTACGCGGTAGCCCACCGCGACGGCACCGGCAGCCGTGATGAGACGTAGCGGCGGCGGCGGCGGCATCGTCGTAGCGGTGGTAGGAGCCACGGCCAGGCACGGTTAGGGAGCAAAAGGGGAACTTTTTCCCTGGGCCTCACGCAATAGAGGGCCTCACGCAATAGAGGGCCTCACAACTGGCCCCTATTTCTGTTGAATTCTCCTGTACAAGAGGTAATTTAATCACTTCCTCTCAGGCACCTCGACTCCTTTGGCAGTCACTTGGTTTTGATTTAAAGCTTTCGTGACTGCAGTAATTCATATTCTTAGCTCTTTCGGTAAAGTCGCGTTGAAGGGAAACAATAAAATAAAGTCACGTTGAAGGGAAACAATAAAATAATAAAATATATGTTTTATATTTATTTTATTACTTTATTGTTTCCCTTCAACGTGACTTTACCGCAAGAGCTAAGAATATAGTCACTTGGTTGTTAGTCTCATTATCCAGTGGATATGTTTTCAGCTTGCGTTTGCTCTCTACGTCCATCCCTCAGTGTGACTTCAAGTTTACACCTCGCCATGCACATTACATCAAACATATACATACCAAGCATGCCTGGGACCACATCACCCACTGGGTTTTGTTTGGGTTGTGCCGCGTATTGATATTCAGTTCCCGAAGCTCCCAGTTTCACCGAAACTTTGGAAATTATACCAGACAAGACGCGGGGTACAAACTAGCCAATTGGGATTACGTGCAGCAGCAATCATCGCCCCCTACTGGCAGACCACGTGCAGGCCAGGCGCCGAGTCACTCTGTTCCCACAGGCGCAGCTGCCGCTGGGGGTGCCCTTTCAAGCGTGTTGAGTACGAGACGCGACTGCAAGCCGCTTATCAAGCGCTCCGAGATGCCCCCCGGTGTAAAAGGAGACGCGCTCTTGTCAAGAAACAAATCGCTGTTATCGCTACAACCTGTAAGAGCTGTGCAGAACAAAGCAACAACACAAAACCTGTCGCCCACTCTGTTCCACCAGTGGACATCCCGTGCGGGAAGATCCTGGTGCGTTCTCCCTCTCCCATCATCTCGCCCTCGGAGGAGACGTTGACGACGGGGCAGGCCAACCACACGGCGGTCACGGAGCCCGAAAGGGGCCCGTTCCTCACTCCGCGCATCACGGGAGGGCAGATCTGCACCAAGGGCCACTGCCCCTGGCAGGTGACGGACGTCGCTGGCGAGAGACAGAGACACAACGAGTGTGGCGGCGCTCCCGGGGAGGGGAGGGGGAGGGGGGGGTTGCCGTTTTGTCCCGCCTCCACCTCGGCTCACGATGACAGGGGGCAAAGGGGCGGAGACTACGCGAGTGGTGGGCGGGGTTTAAGTAGCGTGGATGGGGTTTAAGTAGCGTGGGCGGAGCCTGCAAGCAGTAGGCTGAGGGGGGGCAATGTCAGAGTGAGGGGGGGGCAATGTCAGAGTGAGGGGGGGCAATGTTAGAGTGGGAGGGGCAATGTCAGAGTGGGGGGGGGCACTAGGGGGTGTGTGCATGGGGCTAGTGGTTGAGTAGGCGTGGCTACGTTAAAGTGGGCGGGGCTGAAGGAGGGCGGGACCACCAGTCAGCCAACAGTGCGTCCCTGCTGAACTCCCAAGGAAGAAGTAACGTCGACTTTTTGACGATTGTTATTCTCACCCGTTTGTTTGTGCTGCCCCCCCCCCCCACCGCCGTCTTGCTGACACAGGTTTTGCTCATTAAAGGCACCAACAAGGCATACTGTGGGGGCACACTGATCCACCAGCAATGGGTCCTCACAGCTGCGCATTGCGTCTCCGTTCAAGAGAAGTACCCCACGTTTGTCCGACTGGGTAAGGCCAATTATTATTTTACACAGGGCACGGAGGCTACGCACGCATGTCAATCCTAATATATAAACACTCAGCTCTGTGATTCTGTCATTCTGTGACTAACGCGGCACGGATTGGTTGAAGTGCATCACGTGACCGGGACCAAGCAGCCAACCAACGCTTGGCGGGGCTATAGAGGGGCGGGTGAAATTCCGCATCGACCCAATCCCCCAGCAAGGCCATCTACTTAACGACGAGAGGAAATTCACCACGAAATGTCATTTTCAATTAAGTATTCCAGATGTAAAATGATATAAGCTTTTAATGAAGAAATAAAATGATCTAATTCAAAACATAATACAATTCAAAATGTGTTTCATTTTAAAACTTCAAAATGGAGCATCGGGTGCTTGCGTGAATGTGTCGTTCGTGTGCAATTTTTTTCAGACATTCCTGTCCAAAGGCCGTAAATGGTTGTTCAGGGGTGCCATACCCCTAGTCCTATTATATTTATTAAGCTTAAATTTTGATTTAAAGCTTTCGTGACTGCAGGGATTCATATTCTTGGTTCTTTCAGTAAAGTCACCACGTAGAAGGGAAACAATAAAATAATAAATAAAAAATATAAAACAATAAAATTCTCACGTTTCGACTGCAATACAATCAATCATCATCAAAAGTGGCCACTTTTTTCAAATTTTCTTGCTGTGGTTTTCACACCTGATGATGATTGCTTGTGTTGCAGTCGAAACATCGTGAGAATTTTATTGTTTTATATTTTTTATTATTTTCTTGTTTCCCTTCTACGTGACTTTATTAAGCTTGTTTACCCAGGACAGCCTCGTTCAGTGTCAAGACTTTTTTTTCAGACGGATCCTGCCAAATGTATCGTGTTCTTGTATTATTTTTTCTCGTAACTTTCTGACCTGCCCCGACTGGACATCTGTGAAAAAGAGCTTTGTGGCTCATCGGATTCCACCTCCACTATAAATATTGATTCTCAAATGTTTGCAGCAGGGAGCGATGCTGCTGTTGTGTGTAACCACATTGTGGAATTTGCAGATAATTTGTCAGCACTGGGATGGTTGGCCAGTACCAGGTACGATACCAGTCTCGAAGCAGTGCTCACATCCGAATTACAACCCTGAGCAGGTGGTGAAAAATCTCTCATTACTATGGCAGGGTCGAGTCCATCAATAGAGGGCCATCACTGTCGACTCCCTCCACAAAATGTCATCAAAACCTTGGGAGAGATGACGGAGCCGAGTCAACCCCCCCCGCCAGGATTTTAACTCACGACCTTCAGATCGCGCGTGGAGAGAGAGGCCGCTCGTTCAACCGCTGAGCACACCATGGGGGGGGGGGGGGGGGGGGGGGCGCCCCCCGTGCATTTGCTGTTGTTATTTTGTTGCTGTGTGCGCGTGCGTCCCGACACCAGGCGACCACTACCGCAACAAGCCAGAGCCTGAGGAGCGCAACGTGGCCGTGGCGGAGATAATCGCTCACCCGCACTTCAACCTGCGCACCTTCTACAACGACATCGCCCTGCTGCGCCTGCGGAACGCCGTGGGGCTCAGCCCCTACATCGTGCCCGCCTGCCTACCCGACCCGCGCGCGGCCGAGAGGAGCCTCTTGCTTCCCGGAGTCCGCGCGGTGGTACCAGTCCACGGGGGGGGGGGGGGGGGGGGGGGGGGCGCGAGAGCTTGGGGAACTTCTAGATTTAAAGCTTTCGTGACTGCAAGGATCCATACTCTTGGGTTCTATTCGGTAAAGTCACGTAGGTAAAAAATAAAACAAAAATCACGACGTTTCGACCACTTGTGTTGTGGTCGAAACAACAATCACGACGTTTCGACCACTTGTGTTGTGGTGACTTTACCGAATAGAACCAAAGAGTATATTCTTAGCTCTTTCGGTAAAGTCACGTTGAAGGGAAACGATAAAATAATAAAAAATATATAAAACAATAAAAATTCTCACGACGTTTCGACCATAACACAAACGGTCGTCATCAGGTGTGTCGGTTCGCATTAATTAATTTATTTTTAAACGGTACATTTACTTATTTATAAAAAAACGTCAGCGCCACGCGCAGCGATTTCGCAGTTTATTTAGAAGGACTAGTCCATCTATGTTCTGAAAAGAGGAGGGGGGAGACAAAAAAAATTAATGTATGCTGTCTGAAAGCCACTGTAAGCGTGAACAATCAATTAAGACCTGAAATGGTTTTTTATCAAATCTTTCCAATGATTGCTAAGCCAGAATCCATCTTCTCGGTTGAAATTGTCTCTGTGCTTGTATATGTGGATAGCCTCATGAACGAATCTCTCATGGTAGCCAGATGGCTTACAAAGAACCTCTGTCTTGGAAAAGTCAATGTCATGTGAGCCTACTGAATTATAACAATGATCTGCCACGGCCGAGGTGTTGGTCCTACCGTGTTTAAGGTCTGCTTTGTGTTCACGAATGCGGTCCGAGACAAAGAGCTTGGGGAACATCGATCCCGCAGGATTACTTTTTCGCTTGCGGTTCTATTTGGCGTATAGCTTTGTATGTTTATGCACCTTTGTAATAATCACCCTGAAACTATTTAGATGCTTTTGTAACTTAATTTTTACTATCAATGTGTTTTTTTTATTATTAGTCTACTTTTTAAAATTGGAAATGTTGATCGATTACTCTTTTCTAGGCAAAAACGCGGTTATTTTTTCTCTAATTTCTAATTGGTTATTTTCACTCGGATTAATATTTGCATCATTCTTGTACGTGCTCTTATGTTATCGCTTTGTTAGTGTAAATGTTGGTGGTGGTGATTATATTAGTGATGGCAGTGTTGGTGAAGATAACGTTAATGAGGGTTATTTATCAGTGAATCATCCGAGACAGACAGACAGACGCGCAGCCTCAGGGCCTGACCCCAGGACGTCAGCTTTGTCGGCTCAGCAATTATGATCACTTTTGACAAGTCCACCACGTCGCATGTCCTTCCACCCCCACTCACTTACAGGTCAGTGGGTGGGGCCGAACCCTGGAGCAACCAGGGTTTAGTGGCTCCGGCAGGCAGTCGGTAGGCAACGAAGAGCAAGAGGTCTCGGTCGAGCCTGCTCTCCCCGAGGTCTCGGGCCACTCGTGCGTGGAAAGCCAAGGAGGACACCAAGTCAACCCGGAAGAAGTCGTTCCGTGTGATCCCCCAACCAGAGGAAACGACGAAAACAATGGCACTTCAGCTGGTCCCAGCAACGAAGATTTGGCCAGATCCAATGGTCGTTCTGCAAACCCGAACATTGGAGGTCAAAGGTAACCAGAGCTGAGGATTAACGCGTCACAAGTAATAACGCATTAATGTAATAGGTTTACTGAAATGGGGCACCAGTAAATCCCGTGTGGTTACTTTGTGGGTTTTTTTTGCTTGATTTTTGCTTGGTCCTCCACATGAAGCCACCTGTGACCACCGTTCTCTTTCTCCTCAAACGTCAGGCCTCCGGTTAAGGCGCCTCCCATCAAACCGTGGAGTCCCAAACCAGCGTCGCAAAAGCCCAACAAACCCAGCAGCGGCGGCGGCGGCGGCGGCAGCAGCGTCATCGCGGCATCCGTTCTGGGCCAAAGCGACATGTCCCCCGTGCTCCGTTTCGCCCGCGTCTCGCTCGTGTCGCACGAGGCGTGCATCAACACCTCCCGCTTCGCCGTCACGCGCGACATGCTGTGCGCTGGGCCGGGGACGCCGTCGGGGGCCAACGGGGGCGCCCCACAAGCGGACGCTTGCGACGGGGACAGCGGGGGCCCGCTGGTGGCCCCGCTGGTGGCACGGGGACGTGACCGTACGTGGTTCGTGATCGGCCTCGTGAGCTGGGGGGAGGGGTGCGCGCTGCCGGGCAAGTACGGCATTTACACGCGCGTCAGCCGCTACGTGTTGTGGATCGAGAGCAGCATCAGGGCAGCGGAGGCGGGACGCGTCGGTGGCAGTCGAGGAGCGTGACGATGAGAAGGAGAGAGTGGACAGGCAGCGGGCTTTGGATGAGAGGTTAGGGGCAGCTTCTGGGTAGGCCGGGTTTAAGGAAGATGAGACCCAAAAGCCAAACGGCTCTTCTCTGTGAACTACACACTAATAATGTGACATTTTGCTCCCCACGCGATTTGACGAGTTTGTCACGACTCTGGGTGCCGATTCGATTCGAGAATTTATTCTGGAGATGGCTGTGGGTGGCTTAGAGGTGAGAGCACTGAGCTAGCACCATTGAGAACCTGGATATGAATCTGGGTTTCAGCTGCCCATGATTAAACGGTGTTCTCAAGTATAAAGATATTATTGTCTCAGTCTGATCACGTAAAAAAAAACATTTAGTCTGCCTTTAAATTCGCTAAATTCCACCTTTGAGAATCCAAATGATAGGTTAGACTTCCACGCGACAATCTCATAGCAGTGTGGAAAAGTGCGGCCAGGACCGTGTCAAAGATTTTTATTAAAGGCCATTGTGGATTTTTTTGGGGGAAAATCTTGGCAACCTCTTTTGCAGTTATTCTCTGACATGGGATTGCTTGCACCCACTCGAGTTTGGAGCTTTGTTCGCGAGATGAACAAGACTTCAAAATCACTACTAGGTGCTAACGCTCTAGTAATGCTACTGCATTGAAATATTAAGACAAATAGGAGGGGTGGCTCGTTGATGTCATGCTATTATATTTTAAAATAAGCAATATTTAAAAATACTTTTTTTTAAACATCCTTTAATGAAATATACCCAACTAGTAATTGCAGAACTCCACGACTCCAGGAAGTGGCCCCGAAGCTTGCCACAACGTAAGGGGCCGTGGCCAATTACAGCCAACGTCAGTTGAGCGTGGACAATTAGACCCAAGCCGAAATATAACATATAAAAAAAAATTATGATAGAATATAGTATTATCATCAGTATGACATAAGTATACTAAGTTTGCAGTCGATACCACATTTGGAAGTGGGTTAAAATTGAGTTACAAGATTTGAGTATACAAAAACAACGACAGAGTGAGTTAATAAAAAGCGTGTCATAAAAAAAGCTCAACACAAGGGCCATTGCCTGAAACGTGACCTATTATGTTTTTTCATTTTAAGGACACAGTGTTGTTGAAGAATGTCCAGCTTTGTTTGTATTTGTCCTTTGTACACCTCTGCACAAAGCAGCACGGACAACTAATGTTTCTTTGTGCCATTAGAGTTGGCCTGGTCATACAGCATTACTTTCATATTGCTCAAGCTTGAAACTCTCGTACAGGTCGCACAAAAGACAAAGGCTATGTGGGTATGTACAAGATAAGAGCCGTTTGATTGCGGGTTGTGTCTTTCTTTAACGTGTCAAGGGGTAGGGTTAGGGATAGACTTAAAGAGGAAACATAGGTTTTGGGGTCTGGGTGTGTGGTTTGGTTACAGACAACGCACGCTCACAATTACTTTGAGAGACGAGGAGAGGAGCGAATGTGACCGGGATTCACAGCGTTCAGCAGGGATCTATCCACCAGAGACCCGGAGGGGTCGATCGCATTTCGAGAGACATCTTAAAGATCCGTAAGGAAACGGAGCCTGGGCTAGGCACCGGCTGGATGGGAGGATGGCCGATGGACAAAGGTGGCGATGGAAGAGCAGCCAAAGGAGGGAGGGGTACCCGAGATGATGACCACGGTGGTGGAGATGGGGCGATGTAATCAGTTCTTGCGGAGGAGTGAGATTGGTTGTGGTATTGTCGGGCCTTGAATGTTAAATATATCGTGGCCTTCATCCAGCAGTGGATAGACCAGGCTCATGATGATGATAGTTTTGGGGAAGACCTGTATGCTGTTGGCTAGTGTGGTTATGATACAACTAATCGAAATTGATTCTGAGTTATGAAATAAAAAGTAAAGTGTATTTACAACCTATATACAGAGCCTTGGGAATTCTGTTCCGCACTGAAGGCTTCACACACAACAACACGTGCGTTACACTGTAGCTTCACACAACACGTGCGTTACACTGTAGCTTCACACAATACGTGCGTTACACTGTAGCTTCTCACACAATACGTGCGTTACACTGTAGCTTCTCACACAACACGTGTGTTACACTGTAGCTTCTCACACAACACGTGTTACACTGTAGCTTCTCACACAACACGTGTGTTACACTGTAGCTTCTCACACAACACGTGTTACACTGTAGCTTCTCACACAACACGTGCGTTACACTGTAGCTTCTCACACAATACGTGCGTTACACTGTAGCTTCTCACACAATACGTGCGTTACACTGTAGCTTCTCACACAACACGTGTGTTACACTGTAGCTTCTCACACAACACGTGTTACACTGTAGCTTCTCACACAACACGTGCGTTACACTGTAGCTTCTCACACAACACGTGCGTTACACTGTAGCTTCTCACACAGCACGTGTTACACTGTAGCTTCTCACACAGCACGTGTTACACTGTGGCTTCGCACACAACACGTGTTACACTGTAGCTTATCACACAACACGTGCGTTACACTGTAGCTTCTCACACAGCACGTGTTACACTGTAGCTTCTCACACAACACGTGTTACACTGTAGCTTCTCACAGAACACGTGCGTTACACTGTAGCTTCTCACACAACACGTGTTACACTGTAGCTTCTCACACAACACGTGCGTTACACTGTAGCTTCACACACAACACGTGCGTTACACTGTAGCTTCTCACACAGCACGTGTTACACTGTAGCTTCTCACACAACACGTGCGTTACACTGTAGCTTCTCACACAACACGTGCGTTACACTGTAGCTTCTCACACAGCACGTGTTACACTGTAGCTTCTCACACAACACGTGCGTTACACTGTAGCTTATCACACAACACGTGCGTTACACTGTAGCTTCTCACACAGCACGTGTTACACTGTAGCTTCTCACACAGCACGTGTTACACTGTAGCTTCTCACAACACCTGTGTTACACTAGCTTCTCACACAATACGTGCGTTACACTGTAGCTTCTCACACAACACGTGCGTTACACTGTAGCTTCTCACATAACACGTGCGTTACACTGTAGCTTCGCATACAACACGTGCGTTACACTGTAGCTTCTCACACAACACGTGCGTTACACTGTAGCTTCTCACACAGCACGTGTTACACTGTAGCTTCTCACACAACACGTGTGTTACACTGTAGCTTCTCACACAACACGTGCGTTACACTGTAGCTTCTCACACAACACGTGTGTTACACTGTAGCTTCTCACACAACACGTGTGTTACACTGTAGCTTCTCACACAACACGTGTGTTACACTGTAGCTTCTCACACAACACGTGTGTTACACTGTAGCTTCTCACACAACACGTGTGTTACACTGTAGCTTCTCACACAACACGTGTTACACTGTAGCTTCTCACACAACACGTGTGTTACACTGTAGCTTCTCACACAACACGTGTGTTACACTGTAGCTTCTCACACAACACGTGTGTTACACTGTAGCTTCTCACACAACACGTGTGTTACACTGTAGCTTCTCACACAACACGTGTTACACTGTAGCTTCTCACACAGCACGTGTTACACTGTGGCTTCGCACACAACACGTGTTACACTGTAGCTTATCACACAACACGTGCGTTACACTGTAGCTTCTCACACAACACGTGTGTTACACTGTAGCTTCTCACACAACACGTGTGTTACACTGTAGCTTCTCACACAACACGTGTGTTACACTGTAGCTTCTCACACAGCACGTGTTACACTGTAACTTCTCCCACAGCACGTGTTACACGATATATTCACACTTACACATCAGCACCGCCAGTATTGGTCGCCTATGCGGACTCGAAGCTCACACAGAGAATAATACTCAAACTTGTCAACCTCTTATCAGTGCCCTACCTTATTACAGACCAATTCAGATCTTATTGGTCACACCGTGCCCCTTATAAATCTCAACGTTCATCATACAAAGTCCCATCACAAGGGAGAAACACAAACAAATAGACAGTTTTATTTTTGTGTTGCCCGTATTGAAACGGCTGTACGCCCTATGGACCTGAAAACTAACTTTCCCTGTACAAGATTACGGGGTAGACAGTGATGGGTTGACAGTAATGTAACATACAAGTCCTCTCCAGGGTAATGTGAAGAACCCATATGATGGATCCTATTATAGTATTTGGGATTGATTATCGCTTCTTTGCCTCCAGGGTAAAAACGCGATTATTATTTTTAATTCGCTTCGCGATTCCTCATATCCACCAAAACACGACGGATTATAGGGATGCCATTCGGCACAGACTTAAGGGAGAAGCCGTGGATATGACAGGGATGGTCGGGGGACGCAACAGCTGCTTGTGGTGAATAGGAGTCACAGATAACAGGGCAGCGGATAAGATCAGTTATCCTGTATCAATGTCTAACTGGCGTTTACAATTCTCCACGTTATATAGTGGCTGGAGCCTGGTCCCGAATGAGTGGGAGTTGTGAGACTCTGTGTGTAAACACTACAGCGCCCATTCACACTTCAAACGCCCTCTGTGTAAACTCCACGGTGATTTCCTGGAGAAGGCCAGTCGCCCCAAACGTCGAGCTCTATCTAACCTTTCCTCTCAGTGACACTACTGCGTATGTGGTGGTGGTAACCTGATGTCGTGTTGGATAAATAGCACGTTATTTTTCAGTTTTTCATTTCATTTATTAGGGATAGCCCTGTGAGCCATATGAGGCCTTTGACTCGGGTGCAATCACAACAAACAGATCATGAACAAAGAAACATCTTAAAGTGACTTTTGATTGCTTGTGTTGCAGTCGAAACGTCGTGAGAATTTTATTGTTTTATATTTGTATTATTTTATTGTTTCCCTTCTACGTGACTTTACCGAAAGAACCAAGAATATCTGAAAGTGACGTTTCGCAACAGAAACATCCAGGAAAAATCTTCCAGAGGAAAAAAAAATCACCGTACATCAACGCTGTGTGCAAAAATCCCAATGGCATGCAAGTCGAACAATAACAACCATAAGACAATTTAGATACAATTATCAGGCTAACTCTGTACTTCAACAAACAAACACGGCTTAACCACACGTTTCAGAATATCACCAAAATAAAGCTATCAAAACAATGTAACAGTGATCATAGGAACTGTGATTCAAATGTAACAATAATTTTACGTGATATTTCTGTTTCATTTCAGTTTCATTTATTAGGTATAGCCCTGTGAGCCATTCGTCTCTTGAATCGGGCGCAACCCCAACAAACAAAAACACGAACAAAACATCTTAAAGTGACTATGTGACTTTGTGCAAACAGAAAATCCAAGAAAAGCCAGCAAAATATTGCAGAAAAAGCACCGTACACCAACGTTGTGTGCTAAAATCCCAACAACAACAAGACAACTTAGATTAAGGCCATCAGTCTAACTCCGTACTACAACAAACATGGCCAAACCAAAAAAACGTTTTCGAAATGACCAAAATAAAGCCATAAAAACAACACGCGGCAAGCAAACGATGCATAAACACACAGCCCAATGGAGCACACTAATATAGCCAAACTTATAAATATAAACCTATACAACGAAAACTTATAAATGCAGCCCCAATAGCGCGGAATTATTTAAAATAGTGTGAACAGCTGAGCTTAAGGGCGGATTCCACCTGACCTCACTCAACCTCAAAAAATAAAACAATGTATTCTTACTAACTCTTTATTTTGTTTGAGAATGTATTGCAGGATTTAACACAGCGAGAACAATCCAATAAGTTAAATGATGAAACAAAGAACTACAAATATCTCTACGTCAACATAAATTACCGACGGCTTCTGAATGTATAGTGGCACAGTAACCTGTTTGTTAAGACACATTTATGCTAATGAAATACTTCAGTACACCCGCACGTAAATATATTGGAAATAAATAACAAAAGTATTAAAATATTGCAGTAATAATCACAATTCACACGGGAAATAACGACGCTGATGAACTTACACAAGAACGATTTCCATACTCACCACGTCACACCAATAGTATCCCCTTCTAACTACAGATTGTAGTGCAGCAGAGAGACACGTTGACACTGGTAGGAACCTCCTGGTTACTACACCACCAGCCCACAGGGGATTATTGTGTCCGTCCGTCCGTCGTGCATCCAAAAATGGGAGGGGTGGGGCTGGGTGGGGAGGGGAGGGGAGGGTGGGGCGGGGCTGGGTGGGAGCTGGGTGGAGCTGGGTGGGGTGGGTCTGGGTGGGGTGGGGCTGGTCACCCCGTGGTGCCCTTATAAAACTCAATGTTTAACCTACTCACGCCAGCTTGTGCCCGCCCTCACAGTCGGGCATATTTGCGGAATACACCACGTGGTGCCGCCGTTGACCCTGGCCGTTGACCGAGCAACCCAACGTTCCTACCAGCTCCCTCCGCAGGAATGTGTTCTAATAACTGTTAGTGGAATAAATAAAACTAATTGTACAATAAAAAAAAGTATTAAAGCTTTCGTGACTGCATAAAATTACTCATTGGTTTCTTCGGTAAAGTCACGTATGTAGAAATACAATAAAATTATATTAAAACAAAAAAACAAAAAAAACAAACGTTGTGATCGAGACGTCGTGATTGTTTTTTGTTTTAATATAATTTTATTGTATTTCTACATACGTGACTTTACCGAAAAAACCAATGTGTAATTGTACAATTTAGATATTAAAAGAAAAAGGAATCGACTGTGGCCGGTTACGAATCGCCGCCGTTTCAATTCCGAATCGGGAATCGATTTGTCTGCGATCGACTCCCTCGCCCGACTAGGTGCCACGTGACCTGCGCGCGCGGGCAAAGCGCGGAGGAAGTTGTGGCGTCACGGGAGGAGGAGCTTCGACGTCACGGAGCGCCGGTGATGTCATAATATCCCTCTGTCGTCGAGCCACGTGCTCAAGAGTGCCAGGGGGTCCAGGCGACAACTCGAGGGCTCTAATTTCTGACACTTGCGCTCAGCACCAGCTCCAGGCTCTTGGTCCAGGCTCCAAGATGTCACCTCAGCTCCAACTTCTAGTTTCAGTATCCAGGCTGTAGTTTTTAGCACCAGGCTTTAGCTTCGGCTGCATGTTCGAGTGTTCCGTAACTGCTCCCCACCATGGAGGCTAAAGGACTGCTGCTGCTCCTGCTACTCGCAGGGATTCAGTCCTCGGCTGCACAGCCCAGCAGAGACGTAAATGCGCCTGAAGGTAAGAGCCCCATCAGGGATCCACAGGGGTTCACAGCATTCAGCAGGGATCAAGAGGGGGAATCTATTCCACATAAATCCATCTACCAGGGGAATAACAAGACCCATTTTTTTTCCAATTCAGTAAAAAAAACCTCAATAATTCAAGAGTTTTTCAGTTTCAGTTGCATTTATTTGGTATAGCCCTGTGAGCCATTCGGCTCTTGAATCGGGTGCAACCGCAACAAACAAAAAACAAAAACATGAACAAGAAAACATCTTAAAGTGACTATGCGCAAACAGAAAAATCCAGGGAAAAAAACCCAGAGACATCCCTTAATTAATAACGTCACGAAGCAGTCCTTAATTAATTAATAACGTCACGAAGCAGTCCTTAACAAGAGCTGCATGCAACTTCAGAACCGCAGGTTGCCGACCCCTGAACTAAGGCATCACACGTGCGCTGTATGTACGTTGAACTTCTTTCGCACCGTGCGTAGCCAACCGTGCTAATTGTGGCTGCGACAGCTTTGTTGGCGGATGTAGTAGTGGTGCTGTGGAAGTGGTGATGGCAGGATTGTGAAATATTTGTGAGGTGGTTGTGGTGATGGGGATGGTGTCGATGAGATCATAGCAGTGTCAGTAGTGGTTGTATTGATAGTGGTCTTGGTGGTTGTGATTATGGTTGTTGAATTGTTTGTAATTAAGTGGTGCTGGTGTAAATTTTTAAGTTGCTTATGATATTAGTTGTGAGTTGTTGCTGGTGTTTATCGGTACCGATGGTTGTATCTGTGACATTGTGGTTGTAGTTGTGATGCGTTGGTGGTCTTTGTTGGTGGTGCTGGTATCAATGTTAGTGTTTCTTGAGCTAGGATCAGAACCGAAGATTGGCATGATGGGCTGGATCAAGCTTATGCGCAATGCAAAGAAACCCGCCAGCACTACTCCAACCCCTGTGGCTCACACATCATCGGGTATGAAACGGGCCCTGCCCCTCCATAGTTCCAAACTAGCCATAACTGTAAAGCCAAAATTTAGCCTTAATTCGAACTCGAATTCTACACCAATAATAGACTGCATTGGGAGTGGTGTACAAGCACATATAACAAACATAAAATGTGTAATTTATGTTGACGTAGAGATATTTGTAGTTTTTTGTTTCATCATTGAACTTCTTGGATTGTTCGCGCTGTGTTAAATCCTGCAATACATTCTCAAACAAAATACACATTCGTCAATAGACTCCCAGAAAATAAACAGATATTAGGTGACGTTTGGGATAATGGCCCTGCCGCATAACACAGAGGCTAAGGAGATCGACGTTTTTTCTGATGACGTTTTAAAATAAGCTTATCAAGAGTTAATTAATAGTTAATTAGTAACAAACCTTTGAATAATAAAAAAATTCGGTAATGTCTTCTGTATTAGAACATTACAAAAATAAATGCTGGCACAATGCATTATGGGTATAACTTTTTTGTGAGATTTCGATTTAAAGCTTTCGTGACTGCAGGGATTCATCTTCTTGGTTCTTTCGGTAAAGTCACGTAGAAAGGATAATTTAATTTTATTATTTTTATTATTTAATTATTGCCCTTCTACGTGACTTTACCAAAAGAACCATGAAGATGTTTTTGTGAGGTCAATGCTTCATCCATTTATTGATAATTCTGAACCATAAATCTATTCGTAGCTTTTCCCCCAAACCTGCCCTAACTGTAACCCCTAACATCACCGTCCCTAATCCTTACCATAACCTTTAATTCATAACAAGTTATCCTGTTGATTTGCTGCTGCAAAGAACCCGATTCAAATGTTCGTTTTCCTTCATCCGTGTACACAGGCTCCAACATAGCTTGGGCTGTCCTCCTGTCTTCCAGCGTGTTCATCGTCCTGTTCATCGGTTGTGTGGTGCAGTACCGGCGCTTAGAGCAGTAAGTATGAGTTGAGGGCATATTTACATTTGCTGATCTATGCCAACGATTCAGTGTCAAAAATCCTCATGACATTGGATATAGGTTAGAGGTCAAAACAATTGTGATCTGATACCGACACACCTCGGCTGTGTATTCCTGACCATTCCAGCCAAATATTCAAGCTTCTTCAACGATGCACTTAATCTTAAAGTTGAGATCAAATGCTGACGATATATCACGGCCGTACAATAATGCAGCGACGTCACGCAAGAACTATGATGAAGCGCCTGTTGGTTTTTCTCTCCACAATCTTATCCCAAGTGCAGTCAGCATGACGCCATCAGATGAAGCCTCCATCCTCTTGCAGAGCAATAATAATTTAAATTTATAAAGCGCCCTGAAACAAGAGTTCTCAGGGCACTCGAGCAGCGCATCATGGTCCATCATAGAAAATGGCCAACGAAAGCAGATATCACAGCAGCACCGAAATCACTTCACCGTGACCTCTTATCTACTACACTCGGGGGGGAATTATTTTCCATCTGTCGCGTTGGAGAGCAATGTTCAAGACCAAAAGTCAAAACAATGCTTTAATGATCAGAAATGCAATTTGGCTAAGATCATTAACTTACTACACGTGAGAGCACCGTTTTTTATCACAGGCAACTGGAATCAAACTTACGATCTTAGCAGTGCCCGATCTTTAAGCAACCCAGCCACCTCGAATCAGTGATTTAAAGCAAAATCACTGAATGAGCTTCAAAGTAATTTGGGATTTTCTGGAGTACATCGTTAAAAGTTTGTAGCTAAGAACCTATAAGAGCAGTGCACAGAAACCTGGGACCTCACCGTTAAGATTGCACAAGCTGAAAAAATAATAGGTTTAACACCTGTTTTATTGGCAGAAAGGGTAAAACTTAGTTTTTTTGATACTTTTGATACTGGCAAAAAGGTCCCATTTTGTAACTTCACAAGCTGTGTGTTTGCAGCCCGACAAGCGAAACCTTCAACGTCTGAAGCATCACCTTGGATTTCTCTTTGTGCTTTGCAGCAAGTACTCGGAAGTGGCCGAGGAAGACGGTGGTGAAGCCGGAGAAAGAGCGGCAGATTCCGACGAAGAGACGGAGGAGACGCCACGGTTTGGGTGCATGGCAGCACTTACGGCCATCCTGACGACCTTGGCACAATCCTTCATGCCTGCAAATCCGGGGACCGGCAGCAACACAGCTGGGACCGAGGGCAATGACAACCTCAACCAGGCCACCATGAATGGCCACAAGAAACCCAAGTCAGGTGCAGAAAGAATGTTTTACAGGTCACCTTCATAATGGCCTACTTCAATCATGAATGGCAGATAAATGAATTTGAATTATGGAATTGCCTACATTACTAAATCGGGTCAAGGTGTAGATGACGTTTAACAAATCTCAAGAAAATGTTCACATCTAGGCTGGAGCTCAGAGTTCTTCTTGTCCAGGATAGCATTTAATGCAAGCCGTTTAATTAATGTCGCAGCCACTATTTGGTACTGCTCAGGCTGTGTTCAGCCATGGGCTCTTACGTCGAGGTGGGCTGTGGTTTTTCTCCACAAGGGAGGGCCCCCATGCCACACTTTCTTTTAACATGCCGTTCCGTTGCTGGTCTGTGGCTCTTTGCAGAAAAAAAGAAGGCCAAAGTCGCAAACATCTTGGCGAATAAGAAGACACAGTTGAAGAAGCTGCACAAAAACATGAAGGCAGCGGTGAAGAAGAAGATGCCCAAGTTTAAGAGGAAGAAGTAGTTCGGCCCAGCAGAGGCTACGACCGCATCCTCTTCCCTGCCATGTCATCACCCTCCAAACGCATACATTCTCCAATAACTTAGGAAACGATCCATCAGATGAAGGATTATGGGAGCGCCGATGTTTGGAGTTCTTCTGGACATGTTTACACACACACAGACGTATACCTACAAACCCTACTCATATGTACACAAAGATACACAAGTACACAACACATGCCCACACATCACTCACAAAGACGCTACCCATATGTACACACACGACACCACAAACTACGGAAAATGTAAAATAAAAAGTGTACCCTAAATTGTCTTAAGGCTTGTTGGAACATTTCTGTTTTAACACTGCATATGGATGACCACATTTTAAAAACGCATTAATTCGGCTACGCCTTCACATTTGTCACTACCGGTCGTTACTCTTGCACTATTACCGTCATGTCATGATAATAAATGTCCATGGAATGACCCACAGGAAGCAATATCAATGAACTACTGCTGGAGAGTCATTAAAGTGGCCGAATCTATCCACACTCGGCGGCGCTGAACCTTTACGCACACCTGGCCAAAGAGAAACGTTCACCGCATGGCAGTCTGATATATTTTTTATTTTGGACCTGGACTTTGGCAGAGTGTAGTCAAATCCCCAATTTAATGCGACCCTTCTTCGTACAGCCACTTGCCATTCCGTGTTACCCGCTACACTAGAGAACCCCCCGTGTAACAACGGGCGGATGAAACCATGAAATCACGGATCTTCGAAGCAACATTCCAAGGGCTTCACAATTCCCAGATGCCTTGGCCCAGGACATTCCTACCATCTTCAAAGTGCTCGTCAATGACGAAAAGCTCCAAAAAGTTTAAACGCGCATCCCCACCACTTTAAAGTCAATGACGGATAAAATATTAAAATGTACACAGACCTTCCCGTCTGGTAAAGTGGCAATGAGAAGACATACATCATCAAAACAGGGCATTTCCATTTTTATAAATGTTTAAAAACATGCTAGAAGGACAATCAAGTATCAATATTTATTGAATCATATAAAAGTTTTTTTTTTACAAAGCAAATGCAAAGTACAAGTGCTTACAAATAACAAATTTTCTCTCAAAAATATCAAGTTTTCCTTAAAAAAGAATGTACAAATGTTCAGAAACGGCTTTCAACTGTACATACCACAGCTTCTCTCACAACCGCAAGTAAGAGGCAGAAAAACAATATTCACTCACAATACATTTTACATTTCAATTTTTTTATATATATAATATTATGTTTACATTACACAACTTACCAAAACCAGCTCTCATGAGTACATTACAGCCAAAAAAATATGGCTCAGGCACAAACAAAAATTGTGGCCAGAAAAAAAAATCTGTAAGAAATTTGAGCGTGTGTCCTAAAATAAAAAAAAATCCATACTCAAAGCAAAAAGAGCTGAACCTATTTGATGCCACTGGCTGGATCAGCAGTTGAGCAATGGTTGGATATCAAGTTGAGGCCTGGGTCCGTTTTTGGAAGATTGACAGGAACTGCTTCGCCAGTTGGTTACCTTTCTAAATCACAACGTATCGACCGAAGGGGGTTCTCCGAGGGAGAAACCCAGAGACAGTTGCACTGGGAGAACCGAGAGGGCGGTGTTTTGTCTGGACCTAAGTAGGAGGAAGTGGCTGTCCAGGGACAAACCTTGGCGAGAAGATTATTTTAAGAAGAGAAAAACCGTGGGCTGCGACGCAGTCAGGAACTGTGCAGGGCTACGCATCGAGAAACACAAACAGCTGTTTAACATTCGTGACGGCTGATTGACCAAAGCAGCACTTTTTCAATTTGTGCAAAATTTGTGTATTTTTGAATTTCATTTCTATTTTTTAAAAGGAAATAAATAAAGAGGGCACAAAAGACAGCAGCGCCGGGTGCTGTACCTGGCCCTCAATGTCCTTGACACAGACACGGGGCCCACCACTCCCCCTGCTCCACGTTTAATTGCAGGCCCCACACCAGATTTCCACTGAGACTCTGGATGCCACCATCTTTCCAAGCAGTTTGGATACGGTCAAAGATTCACCCCGACCCACCCAGCCACAACAAGCCCTTCCCCATCTATCATCTTGATCACAGACTGCCACGTCAATTCACTGCCGTTTGTGCAGTCCTCCCCGTCTCGCTCTGTAGCTCGCCGACAAACCTTTCCCCTCTGCACCCCTTTGGTTGCAGAGCCTCGTTCCTTGCACGGCGGACGAACCCCTCGGCTCTCCTCGCTTGCGCACCATTCTCTCCGTGCCATGATGACGGGAGGAAGTTAGCAGCAACCTCTCATTTTTTTTTACTCACTCCTCAGCGCTCCTGCAAAATTTTGCCTCGGCACGCCGGCCCTTCCACGCAGCGGGTTTTCCTTCGCGCGTCAGGACCAAGCGCCCGCTGTGGCGGCACGGCTTCCGGCGGTCGTATTTCACACGATTCCAAGCTGCTCTCTCTCTTTCTCAAGAACTCGTCTTTTTGAGGACAAAACAAAAGCCGCGTTTGGGAGGAAGGCGGCGCCGCGTCTTCTCCAGGTTCCGGGCCAGTGCACCTCGGGCGCTGCCATCACCTGCTGTTGACGTGGTTTGGCAACGGGCACGTGGGTTTCGGGATGTCAGTCTTGCCCGTCCGTACGCGCTGCATGGCCTCCTCGAGCTGCTGGATGAGCACGCGCTTCTTGAAGCTGCACGGGGCAACGGTGACACGAAGTGAGCATTTGGCGGCATTAGCGGCAGCGGGCGACGCCATGCAATTTTCACCCTTTCCCGTTGCGATGGCGTACGTGTGCGTCACCAGTTATTTTTCCCGATTCCATTCCGATGATGTAAGTGTACATCGTGAAAACAAAACCGGGAGAAAAACTAAAATATCTTTATCGGTACCGAAGCACCCACAAGGCCATGCAGGAGGACGTGTGGCACAGTTTGGCGCCAGCTATCAGTGTGGTCGTGTCGCTACGGTTCTCTGTGGGGAGTAGAATGTCTTTAAAAACAACGGCGCTACGCCAATTCAGACCTTATTGGACACCCCATGCCCTTATAAATTTCAACATTCAACCTACAAAGTCCCATCACAAGGGAGAAACACAGAAAAAATAGAAAAAAACATGTTTTTGCCCCTATTGAAAAGGCTGTATGCCGTATGGAGCTGAAAATATAATTTCCCTATAAAAGAATAGGGGGTCAAATCGTATGGGTTGACAGGAATGCAACTCTTAGTCAAAGGGTAGGGGGGGGGTAAGCACTCACCGGGATGCCTCCCGTATCACGTTCTGAATGAACATCACTTGCAGGTCGGTGCTCCCTCTCACCAGCTCCAGGAGGCTGAAGATGTGCTCGTAATCTGGCCAACCGACAGCACACCACACAAGCTTCTTGGTTTAGTTTACCAACGTGAGTGGGGCGCCGCGGTGGCGATATGTTAACTACCTCGCCTGGTATGGAAGAGGTTGTGGGTTCGATCCTGACCCTCCCCGTGGTCGCGTGGATTTTTCTTCGGGTCCTCCGGTTTTTCCCTCCACATTAAGGACATGCGTTTAGAGTATTTGGCTGCTATAAATTGTCATATAAGCCACTTCGTTGAGCTATCATTTGTGGCCAGGTTGCTCCTGAAAAACAGCTATATCACTCAGTGGACCTTACCTGGTAAAAAAAAAGTTAAGTTCGTAGTTTAGTTCCAGCAAAATAATTACCAATTTCCATAAATTAGAGTTTGGCTACCACGTATGAAAACACCTAAGTACCCGGAGAAAAGCCACATATACATGTACGAGAGCGGTAATCCTCAAAGCTTAGCAAATATATTTTGGGATTCAATTCATGCAACTGCTCTCTTGGTCACCAACAACCGCCATTCGACACTAAGTGGCGGTGACGTCACCACGGCGCTTGTGCCAGGCTATGTGCATGTTAAGGCCACGTGAAGTGTCGAACGCCCGCCGGCAGGAGGTCACGGGGCAGACCCAGGTTGCCATGGGTCGACTGATTGAGATGACTGGCCGATGGACCACCTGTGCCCCCTTACTGTGCCAACTTGGTCACCTCACAGCAACACACATGCAATAGCAGGTCACAATTCGTGATGACCTATCTAAATACCAACCCAACTCAGCTTCCGAGATTCTACGAGCTTGGGCACATTTATGGCGATTTAATCGAAGGGACTCAATGCATATTGGCACTGTTGCATTTACCGGACGCGCAAATAATTATTTTGGCAGACAAATCTCCGATTATTTTTTTTCCATGCAGTCTCTAATGAATGGGCTGAGAGCATCTGATTCACTACGAGATCACCAGTTCCAATTAGCTGTGGGGGAAAGTTTTACAGGTTGCGGAAGTAACCATTGCATGCGAAAAAAAAAGAGAATACTTCTTCGCGTGCCGGCATAATTATTATTAACCGCTCCTCGCACGTTGTGGGTCCGTGACTGTGTCCACGTGACCGCAAACACACTGGCAGGTAAATGGATTTGTAAAAAACATAACAATACAGACGACACATTCTGTGTTCACCCCAATTCTACGTAGGTAAACAATAACCTTGTGTTTTCACCGATGCGAATATAAATATTGTGATATTTTGATGTAGGACTTCTTTCCGGCCGTACGTAGCTAACCGTGCTAATCGGAGGTGCTAATCGGAGACACGCGCGTGCCCTTCCATAACACACAACGCGTTTCAACGAAGGTCGAAACCTTTTCATGTATTAGCACCCTCCCCCTCCTGTCTGTCTGTGACTACGGTGGCACTGAGCGGGACCTACTTCGGCCGGGCTTGCGGATCTCCCGCACCACCTTTCCCCAGATCTCGTTGTTGGTCTCGCGCACTTTGGCCGCCTTGATCTCCGTCTTTCCGCCCAAGCCGTCTGTCGCTGCGGCCATGCGGCCTCGCAGGGAGTTCGCGGCGTGGTTCTCGGAGGAGGCAAGGCCCTCATCTCCGCCGCCGCCCTCCTCGTCTTCCTCGTCCTCCTCATCGGTGGCGAGGCCGGCACCCACGTGGTTTTCCGTTTCGGTGTCGGCGGCGGAAGAGATGGCAGGCGCCGGCGGCAACGGAACCGCTGGCTGGGAGTTGGCGTTGGGCAGGTCGTCGGAGCTGATGTCGACGATTTGATTGTTCAGCTCCGTCCCTGCGAATAGTAAAACCAGCTCGCAAAAACTCGTACACACAGAGCAAGTAAATGGATCGCGTAAATACATTCTAACATGAGCTTGCCGATGAAAGCATTTCATTAGTGGGAGCGAAGCCGACAGGCAGCCGTAAGAGCAAGACATGTTTGCACATTTTAAAAGTTTTCCTTGGTTTGCTTTGTGTTTTGGGAGACCCTTTGGTCAATATCTTCAGGCTTCAATCGGGTGAGTCTGGAATAAGCACGCGACTTGACACTATATTTAGTTAATGTTGGCTCATCTTTACAAGCGTTATAAGGCCCCCCCCCCCCTGTGAGTTATAAAATAAAAAATAATCATTGTAATAAATTATAAA